CTCTCTCTCTCTCTCTTTCTCGCCCCCTCTCTCGCCCTCCTAGCCATCTCCGTGGAGTTCTCCACAGGCGACAAACGCTTTTTGTCCCCTTCACTTCGCCAAACCAAAATCCTTATTGGTATCGCCCTCTCTGAAGCCCCAAACCAAGTCACCATCGCTCTCTGCCTCTTGCGAGATCAAACCCCTCTCCCCCCGCTCTATCTTTCATCTTCCCAGCAATTGAAATGCAAACTGTCACAAAGTCTAGCTTTTTCTATAATCTGAAAAGGTTTATGGAAGAAAAGGAAAAAGACGAATGTTTTGTAAGTAGTGTCCCTCCATTAAAGGGGCACCTCACTAGAGGGCTAAACAACAAGCACGTGATACTAATCTCGGTGTACCTGGAGTCGATGGATTAGAGCATAGAGGTCCTTTCGAGTATTAAAAAGTTTATATGGACGTTCAATAGAGCAGCCGTTACTGTTGCGGGCTTAGGTAGCTCTTGGAACGAGACATTTAAGTCCTGGGCGCAACAGCTAGAGATTTGTTTTCAAACGTATAAATCATTCAAATCGGGTGATATACTGCGAACCAAGGAGAATGGACAAGCTTCAGAACAAATGAAAGGACAATCGTACGCTGTAACAAAAAGGCGGATCCGGTGGGCACGAGTGCACTGTTCATCTGATGCCTTACCTGTAAATGCCTGAATTCGATGCGGACACTGCTGAGATCTCGTCTCCTTTGAAATGTACAGAATCTCCATAGCCTGTCGTCTTGTGCTTCCATAGATGGCAATGCTTACGGTTCTGAACCAACTTCTTCGGGAAAATGTTGTTCCAGTTATCGAGGAACATAAGACATTTTGCCTTCAAACAAGTAGTTTTTACCAGCCTGCCGGAGCCACGCGATAGGGGGCCGACGTAGACGACGAGGACTTGAGAGGTTTTCTCTAGTGTTTGTGAGGAACCCTGGGCCAAAGTGAAAAAAGTTCACTTGGAATGACTCGTTCGCAGAACCCTGCAGTATACCCGGAAAACCTATCGTCTGATAATTAAAAATATTGTAGGTATGTTGAAACACTTCATACGCCAATATCAATATAAGGTACAAGGTTGCCGGAGTATTGACTACTATATGTTGAATCCGGCGGCCTTTAAATCGATTAGGAACGGCGATGCTCAATCCAGTTTAGGGGGAAACGGGTTGCAGTGTCAACCTTGCGTTGATCATCCTTTGCCGAAGTCCCAACCCTTCTTGCTGCTATCACTCTACCCTGGGCATCACCACCTCCAACCTCACTGCCTCTGTCTCCTCAGTGAGTAAGAACGAAGAATATTGGAAGAAACGGAAACTACCGGCGCCCATAACCACCGGCTACTGCTGCTGCTACTGATTCCGCCAAGATATGATGGGCGTAAATGGTGGGCGGCTTGCCACCATTCCCCTTCTGACCTCCGTGCAGGAGAGATGGGCGTGTCAGGGGGTGGGGGGGTTGAGATTTTTAAGATATTTGTAGTTGTCCATTCATAATTTATAAAATATATGAAAAATAAATCACTTGAAAAATGCATTTATTTCATAATATAGTATATTTCTTCATAATACTTATTTTATTATAAACGTTTTTTCGGTGTTCCCGTATATCCTCTGACCTGATCAATCAATTAGCTTGATCTGATCCCGTGTGCCATGTAGAGCATGCACTATAATTTTCACAATGACTAACTTTGAATGTAACATAATTAGAATCCATAGATAAGATGCATTAGCCTTGTACCACCAATCACACGGGATTTGGCATGAAGGACCCAGCACAGATCTCTGATGTGTAGATAGCCATCGTCTCCAAAATCCAACATGGAGAAGAGAACATTGACAGGAGAAAAATATAACCTTTGTAATGTTGCTTGTCGTCTATTAGGGTTTATTCTTCAGCCCAAAACCATCATTACTCGTTTGGTTGTGGAACCCTTGTTTCTCTTTTAGCCACCTATTAAGATAATGTGCTAGACACATGTAAGATATTGAGAAATTACGTATTCTCGTTAAAAGGTAGCATTTTCATGACCTCTTGATCAATCAATGATAATCTTAGGAATATTATTACTATTACAAATATAGAAGAAAGATGGATTGCTGGAAATATGCAAAATACCATGCTTGATCGAAGCTCCAATGATCTCTAAAAGAAACCTTACAATAATCATATTTATTGTTGCAAACTCATCGATATACTAGCTTCAATTTTATGCAACAATTCCCAGAAATAACATGCATCACCGCCGCAGTAGTTATGAAGCGTGGGTCGGTAAAATGGTATGTCTTATTCTTAAAGTGTGGCAGGTTTAAGTTTTAAAATCCATCCAACCGTCTCAAATATGAAAATTTTGTCCGAGACCAAAGATAAAGATAAATAGTCAAGTCATGGAAAGATTTTTCTGACCAAAGTTGGGCATTTAAGGACGCTGGATACATAAATGAACGTAGCGATTGAATCAAATTCAAGCCCTAATGCGATTGGATGATTATAAACGACTTGTAGCTAGTTGTTTGGCATGTTTTTGTAGATTCCTATTGTAATAAATAGAGCTACTTCGATCAGGTAGGATTAAGTTTATTCGCTATCAACCCCCACGCTAACAAACGTAGAAATGGTCTGACACGGTACCCACTTGGATGTCACTAGATGTCGCCCTTTATTGACTCAATCATGTGTGGATTTGTCAACGAAGAGTGGGGCTTGTTGACCTAAAATATACTACTATTCTTCCTCCGCTGTTACATGGCTTGAGTCACCTTTTTTTATCTGCTTTGAAGAAAAATTGAGCTACCTCTCTTTAAAATAATAATAAGGGGGTAAACTTATCTCTTATCAGTCTTATTGCAACCCACTATTCACGTCTCCAGACGAAATGACTGTTTTGGGAGAGCGAGAGAGAGAGAGAGAGAGAGCTATCACCATCATTGATCACATGGGTGAAATCATGTCTTCAAATGGCGCCAACCGGCGGAGTCTTTATCTCTTGGATGGCTGCATGCGTAAGGTTTCTGGTATTTGTGGCATTCCTTATTGCGGTTTTGGGGTAGGCGAACTATTCTTCCTTCCGTCGAGTACGTCTTCACAAGACCAATCGGCTTGCGGACGTTCCCCGCGCCCTAATATCCTTCTGATCAACAACTGTTTGAGCTTAAATACTGCAGGAAAAGGAACGGGTAGATAGATGTCACCTATCATTCTGCCCTACTACTGACACCCTTGTTCGTTAGCTGCATGAACAGTAACCATAGCTCTGTAAATGCGCGGTACCCATAGAGAGAGAGAAAAACCGAGTTTAAATTATACTAAACATATGCATCTTATTACTTCAAATTTGGATGTCATTTCATGGGCTGAAGGATTTTCTACGGTGATATATCAGTTATGGGAGGTTAGATTTCTGTAAGGTCACAATGTATGAGAGTTATCGTTTTGGGGCGGACAGCTTTCGTTTACCTTGGAGAGAGAAACAGTGTTTACTGATTGTCGATTGCCCGAGATAAAATAGGATCCAAGTTCAGAAAACTTCCACCATTCCAGTTCAGCCATGTGTAACGTTGATTGATTCAACTTGTTCACCATGCAGTAAGGGATTTATTGGACTAATTATAAGGGGATCTCTCTAGGAGTGCGAGATGAACACTGTGACCCACCCTTTGTTGGATTTAATCTCATTCTCTCCCAGTCCTTGTCCCTCCGTTTAGTCTTCCGCTCTCGTCTTCCGGTATATAACTAATAGATTAGGCCTCTCTCTCTCTCTCTCTCTCTCTCTCTCTCTCTCTCTCTCTCTCTCTTTCTCTCTCTCTCGCTTCAGCTTCTCTTGTCGTAAGGGAAGAGAACAGCAATGGGAAAGCCAAGAAGGCTAAGATTCTCCATGAAAGCCCTCCACGGGGTGATCAACAGCTTAACCCCAGCAACGGCGGCGCCGCCATTCTGCATCCAACCAGCGAAGACTCACTCTTCTGGGGACCTCACGACAAGCCTGAGCTCCGTCTACTGCACTCCTCTCTACTCCGTCGCCTCCGAGCCCTGCAGCCAGCACAGCAGCCAACACGTCGACACTCCCAGCACGAGTACCTGCTCCAGTCACCTCTCCTCTACCTATGTCGCCGCCGCCACCGACAACGAGGCTTTCAACGATGGTACGCTAAGGTCCACGCGCTTCTTCTTCTCCCCCTGCAACTCCAAATCAATAACAGGTGTAGAGGAAATAGAGGAGATGGACGAGGAGATTGGGACCGATGTTGAAGGGCCGACGACGGAGTCCTCAGGATTGTTATGGGAGAGCATAGCGATGGCTATCGCGTCAAGGGATCCGTATGGGGATTTCAGAAGCTCCATGGAGGAGATGGTGGTAGCTCACGGCTTGTGGGACTGGTCAGGCCTGAAGGAATTGCTACAATGCTACCTGAGGGTCAACGAGAAGAAGACCCACAAGATCATAATGCTTGCCTTTGTTGACCTTCTGATGGACCTCGCCTCCCACGGCGACGTTCTCAGCTCTGAGTCGCCGTTCTCCTCTTTGTGTCCTCATCGTCTTCATCTCTGACGAAGAGACCAGCGATAGCTGTAACCTAGTCGCTATTTTCTCCTTTTAGCCCTGAACAATTCAAATATGAACAGAGAATCTGTAGGCTGGAAGCTCCCAATTTCCTAATTTTAATTGGCACGCGGATCGCCCGATCTTTCTCAGTCACCTTCGTTTCTCAAGATCTATAAATGGGGACCTTTTGGCTTCTGTAGATGGGTCGTCCACCACCAAATTAAAGTTACTTCTTGTGGGTTTGAATTCGCAAGGAATGAGAGAGACTCTAATCGACCCTGAACTATCCTCGTTCTGGTCGAGGGCTGCTGCTGACGTCGAGGAAGCTGAGGTCTCAATTCTTTGGGTTGCCTCATTATGGGCTCTGCTGTCGTTCTTCAGCCTACCCCACCACCGGCCCACTGCTCGCGCCTCACCCCACTCATTTATTACTCACTCTCGTGACAGTGATTATTTTTGCAGCAGGAAGGCCCGCTGACCTATCTGTCCTCTCTCACTCCCTCTCTCCTTCCTCTCTCTTTCTCTCTCCCCCCCTTCCTCCTTCCCTTTCTGACTCCTGTTGCGGAGTAAACAGCGGAGATTATGCGCGTGGAAAATCGAGGGAAGGGGATACACGTGGGTCCTCGCTGATCATTGATTCTCAAGATGGGCGCCATGATAAATGGTCTGAGAATAGTTGTACTGAAGATATGGAGAAGACTTGAAGTCAAGGTTGCTTCAGAGCATCAACAACATCAACCATCTCAATTGGAGCATGATAACTGCGCTTAGCATGAAATGCCGTGTGTAGGAGTAGCCACGAGGCCAATGTCTCTCAGTTTCATGATAGCAGCATAAGACATGAAATAATTAAGGTCTATAAAAACATCACTTTGTATTGTAAGTATCAAGGGCATTGGCATAAGATAGTAAGGAAATAAGTATCAATAGTTTCACCTTCACATATCACATGATTTAGATCATGTGATAAAGACTAGGATAAAAATTCAATAAGAAGATAGTTGATTTCGTATTAGATAATTAGATGATCGTTTTGGCTGTAAAATTCTCATAATAGATCGATTATTTTGGGTTAATTTTTCATTTGGGTACCTTAGTTACAAGTAAAGGAATTTCTAAGTTTAGTGCTACTTGTCTCTTATATACTTTATGCATCTAACCTAATAACTAAATGGATGCTCACTACGACTTCTCTATCTTCTCAGACTTTTCGTTGAGTTTGAGGGACGTGAAAAGCTCTTTACTATATGGATAGCTTTGCGTTTTTTTTTCAATAAAAAGTACATTTCACTAGGTCATAATTATTTAAAATTGAATTAATGATTGAATTATTACTTTGACTCCCTAAGCATCTCAACAATGCAATTTACACAGTTAATAATTTACTTCTAACCCAATCAATCATCTACCATTTTAGATTTCTATGTTAGGTATGACATGGAGTGATTTTTGATGTCTTTAGTTATTAAAAAAATGATAGAAAAACATTCTTTACGTCAATCTCATACTGATTACATGACAATATTTTGTTTTTAACAATCATGTGCACATAAAATTGTACAAGTAAGGTCCCAAGGTAACATTTCTGCAATTTTAGGGATTACCTAGCTTTGATGCTATGTTGTTTAAATTAGCTATATTATCACTATACATGTAATCATAGCCATCGTTCATAATTATCGTTCGACCAACAATGATCTAGAAGTGCAGATATTTTTCGTGATATCAAAATCATCCAAACTGTGTAGTTTGGAGAAATTTATAGTGGTCTCAAGTATAGTTGATCCAAAGGATAGGAAACTGGCATTTTTTTTCGGTTGATGAGAGCAGCAATTAGGGATATTCATTGTAACATAATTGCTATCCACACCCAGTCTAATCAAATATAGTCATCCTTGAAGTCCCCCATAGACGCCATTTACATTGTTGGTGTCTTGTCCAAGACTTGGATGTTCCCTTTTTGTTCAGATAAAAATATTTCCTACCTTCGTCCCTTTGTTTTGCACCTGGATCCCCAGTTATTATTGTATTTTATTTTGGTAATTGTTTCAATCAACTATAAATTCTATCGAATCCATTGAAGCATATGAAAGTTGTCTCCATGATCATGACACTGCTCTATATTATGAGTAAATAGAAGGTAATTACTGGGAACACAGAGCACAACCCTTGGCATGGCATTACTCAGAAGTATCATCTTTGAGGATCCTAGCAACCCAATCGGGTTGGGGGAGCAATCCTCGACCACCTAATTCTTGCTCAATTATATTAAATGACAAAATACTTGCGAGTTTACATAGCCTAAAATATCAAACTTTAGGTTAAATTATTTTAGTTTTAGCATCAACTATGAACTCCAAATGTGCCATGTAGGCAATATTTAAACGCTGTAATCTCCCCGTTTAGGGTGAATGAAGGAGAGCTTTGTTTGAGCTTTGTCTCATTAGTCAGCATGAAGAGAGTTTGAGCGAGAGGCTTGCAACAGGTGAGAGGCCCCCATCTCACCCCATATTGTCTTCCCGTCCTCCCTCTCCTTTATTTACCTTTTCCTGTCTTCCCTCTCCCTTCTGCGACCTCTTCCCGTCCTCTCTCTCCCTATCCTCCCTCTTTCTTCTACAATATCTTTCTGTCTTCCCTCTCCCTTATACAACCTCTTCCCATCCTCCCCTTCCCTTCTACATTCTTCTTCCCATCCTATCTCTCTCTTCTGCATCGCTTCTCGTTCATCCTATCCCCCTTCCACCACCGTCCTCCCGATTACTCCCCCATACATGGCGATCGTCTTCCCTAGGACGCATACCTGTTGGATTGTCTGATCTTGCGGCCATTGTTCCTCATGCCTCCTAATCACATTGTGCCTTTCATGCAACTGCTCACGCACGCATTCATCAGCATCTGTGGTGAATTATAGTGCCTGCCCATTCGCCGAGGAAGATGGTATTTTTAATCTTTGCTTGAAATTACATACCTCTCATGGATTAGATTATTCATATCAATAACTAGGGGACTTCATCTTGTATATTCTCTTCCTTCCCTCTAGCATCCCAAATAGATTGTTGTAGCACCTTAATGTTTTTGTAGCTTCTGAACAACCTCGATCCTTGTTCCTTTTAAGGTTTTGACTGCCGATTTGTGTGACCTTTCTTATACTTACATGCTCCATGCACTGACTAGATTTTATGTCATCATTATTTGAAACCGTAGTCTACGTTCTTGTCCTGGATCAATTACGCAAGTAATGTTCATTGTCAGCCATGAGTGAAGTCTATTTTCTTATGGGGATCATCTAGTAACAAGCTTGAGATTGAATAGTAAGAAGCGATTCCCTTCAACTCTTATAAAATCTAATAATAGAAAACGCCCATGGCCTAGAAAGGGAATCAAATAGAGTTTATTAGCAGCCCAAACCCCACATAACAAAATTGTGTTGTGATGAGTAAACTATCAAGGGGTTTCAAAAGATTTAGACCCCCATCTCATAGAGCCGACCTTGACCTCCGTTATTTTGGGGTCATATCTAGTATTCAGAGTTTGCCTCGATTTGGTACCGCTCTCGCGGCCCGCACCGAAACAATTTACTACGAACTAATCCAAGATGACAGCCCTCTATGCAGACATACATCTAAATTAAGGCCTTGAAATCGTATTTTTTCCATAAATGACAGGAGGATACTTTAGAATGGCTCATGTTCTTGAACAAGCTCTACTGATCTGGACAAGTAATGCCTTCAGAATACTCAGATCATCTCATTTGGGCATAGACCTTGATGCCTACAACCCCGTTGTAATACTTTTCATTCTAAAAAAGCCTCAATCTTGACTGTGATTCTACTGAAAATGTTTCTAAAAATGTCACATTGTAACATTTTAATCATAAATAGGGCCACAAGGAGAAGGAAGACTCACATGTTGGTGCATGCATCTTGTGGCACCATTTTGAGCTCAATTCAGGCTACCACTTATGAAGGTGAGAGCCACCAAGCTCTATCAAAATAGAAGAACCACACATTCGTTCGATAGAATGCTGACCTAACAATCCCAACGAGAATGGGAAATGGAGAGCAAACAACCACCAGGTCCGCTTCGCTGGTTTTCAGGGTGGGGAAAGGAAGGCCTTTGAAGATGGCCCGACTTCCAAGCCGGCCGTGTAGGACTGAACACTGTACAGCCACGCTGGTCACAAGCACACTTAAACAGGGGCTGTTTAATGGCATGGTCCCTCTCCCTTTCCTCCCCGCCCAACCCCCGCCCCCCCGGCCCCCCGCGCCCCGGCTACATGATGGCCATTGGGCGCTGGTGTAGCCCAGAGATTTATTTCCCTCATTAAGTAATACCGATATTCATCAGCCCATCGCCATGAAATCAATATGGACCCTCGATCATCTGCGTATTTAATGTGTCAAACGGGCATTGGACTGGAGTGAAGGGGGTCTCCGCCGGGCCGGGCCGGGCCGGGCCTTGATCAGCATCTTCCGGGCTGAGCCAAGTTCTTCTTTCGGGCTTGGATAGAAGAACCAGGCATGTAGAGAAAGGCTCTGCTCAATCATGTGGGGAGGGGAGGATATGAAGAAATACCACCCTTGAGGATGAATGCATGTACTTGTTGAGAATCTTTTCTCGCTGGTGGGTTGTGAGGATGCTTCGTGCTTTTGATTCTGCGAGAGTCTCAGCAGCTGAGAATTAAGTGAAATGCTTTTGGGTCAAGAACCGGCGACGGTCAGTTATACGTGTTTATATATGGGCTGGATTGAGTTGGGCCCACTGGCATTGATATAGGGCTTCAAACATGACCCTAAGCAAATCTAACCAGTCACTCTGATGATAACTGCGGACATATCGTTTTTGACCAAGAAAAATTAGCACCCAACCAGGCTCTCTCTCTCTCTCTCTTCTCTCCTCTTCTCGCTCTCTGTGCAGGGAATGTATCATGAGAGAAGCCATCATCTTAGCAGCCAACCAGGCTCTGTCTCTCTCTCTCTCTCTCTTTCACCCCCTCTCTCCCTGTGCAGGGAATGAATCATGAGAGAAGCCATCATCTTAGCAGCCAACCAGGCTCTCTCTCTCTCTCTCTCCCTCTCTCTATGTCTGCAGGGACTGAATCATGAGAGAAGCCATCATCTTAATCATGATAAAACCCTCAGAGATTTCCAAAAGTAGAAACCATCATCGTAATCAAGGAGCATTCATTAACAGAAGGTTGAGATCAAACCCTGGATTAGTGGCGACGTTTACACACAACAAAGTTCAAACCCCACACACTTGAAGAGGATCACTAAGAACGCAGTATTCATCTTTCCAAACTTTCTTGGCAGCCCAGCCAATTACTATTAAGATCATAGGAAAAACCTCGCAGGTTTCTCTCTCCTGATTCTACAGAAAAACCCGTCCCAAGGCGAAATTTTAAGCCATAGACAACGAATATGCTGCCACCTAAATATTATATCGCAGAAAATTAAGTAAATACATGACTGGGTGGGCCTCCCGACCTCCTAATCTTATCTTGGTAAGCGTCTATACCTCTACTGTACTCATTCAGAGGCTATCTCTCTGGGTTGTTCAAAGGCACCTGGAAATTCTCAGTAAAAGGCATTAGCACATGAAAAATATATCAAAAATTTAAAATTAATTGACTATCGATTTTACGATTAGCAGATGAGAGTCATTCTCCTAGTCACATCCATCCATCCATCCATCAACAGCCAGAGAGAGAGAGAGAGAGAGAGAGAGCAAGGGAAAAAGAAAGTCGTCAAGTTCATGCATAATTTCTGAAGAAGCACTCACCTGTGCCTGTAAAGACTCTCATGAACCATTCAGTCCGTGCTCTTCCAAAAACAATGACTTTCAGGACGAAACAAGATTTCCAATTCTCATATCCAAACTGCAACTTGCAATCTTACCCAGATCACGATTTCCGGTGATCCACTTGACCAGGAGTAGAACCAGAGCTGCTCACACCACAGCAGCTCCTCGGCAGTCACAGACATGGATCTTCATTCACATGGTAAGCTTCATATTTCATACAACTGGTGACGATTTATGAAGAGCACTCGTGAGCATTAGCTTTAGGCAGTACCAAAGAACGGGTCACTCTCCTCACTTGGCAATGGCAAAGAGCTTCCCCGTCAGCCTGCCTGAAACTAAATAACTAGTCTTTTACAAGAATCCTCCACCACTGTGAAACATAGAATCAACACCAGGCGGTGGCTTTCACATGGAGATGGATGATAAGTTGCTGGTCTGCAGTAAAGCCCCAAAACAACAAGGAGCTGAGAAGAAGATCCATTCCCTATGGTCTGGTGAGAGAGCAGCTAGCGACAGGGGAATGCATCATCTCCGGAAATGAACATTGACAACAGTCGGTTGCATGTTGGTCTGCTGGATGGAGAGAGCAAATGGTAGTATGGGGTGGAATAGGAAAGATGACATCCTCTTTGTCCGATTGTCTGCCACGCCAGCTTCAGGACCTAGCACAAGGCACCAGAAGGGACACAATCTCACTGATTCAGCTATATGTGGTATTAGCATTTGGTATTGAGAATTTATGCCACAGGAATGGTACAGACCGAAGGATAAAGTCAGAAAGAAAAAACAGATGTTGTGCAGTAACAGCAGCTAAACAGCCTCAGGGTATGCAAAATTAAGAGAACTGTATGGTTGATTAATATTCAGGATATTAGCTAAAAGTGAAAGGAACACCCAATGAACATTGGCTACCTGAAAAGTGATAAGAAGTGGGAAGAGTTTGGAATGAAAACTAGATGGCCACACAGCGTAGATTCATGTTGGAATCTTCCCCACCAGAGCTCGTTCTAGTTTGCCTGTGTTGATTGATCTGTATGGAATAGGCCGCTGCCTAGCATATCTAACTTGCAACATAGAGCTGTAGATTTTGGCCACTTAACAGGCACGAAAACTTATTAATAGTTGTCCATGCGATTTAAGCCAGAAAATCAGTGGATTACTGCCTGGCCGGTAAGGCGACAAGGGTGGGGTGAGACTTACATGCAGCCCAGTATTACTGAAGCTAAAAATGAAAATTATGACTGTAAGTTCTGTCGATCTTCAGATAATTTCGATTCACCTATGTTCAAATCATCAAGAAAGCATCACAGTTTGTCATAACTTGTAGCAATCATTATGAGCCAAAGAGCCAAAACAAGCCACCTCCTCAGAATAGAGATCTGAAGTCGGCAGCTTGGGAATTTCAGTTCAGTTCCTATTTATAGTAGAAAAATAGTATAAAAATAAACCATTTCTTAACAATGTCCACGAAAATCGTCAGATTGGCTTTCCAACCAGCACATCTGCGACTTATCAGAGAGTAGTGGAGATGTCAGGGAAAAAAAAAGAGGGGAATATAAAAAGAAGAATATGAGAGAAAAGAAGAAAAGGGCCCCATATGCCTGGACCAAGTGCTCCTCCCTGCCTTGACCAATGATGTGAGACAAGGACATCACCACGATCAGCCCTGGAGGTTTCCATATTTTCATTTGGAAAAAGTTCATTTTTATACTATTTTTTCTACTCTAAATAGGAATTTTACAAATTGGGAAACACATCTTCTGATTGATTTAAACTTTTTTGTTCTTCCTCAAAGGCCGATTGAACTGATTTTATCCAAGTCCGGATCAGATAGATACCAGCTGATCCGGCAATCTGATTCAATTAGACATGCCAAGCTTTATGTCGCCTTCTCTCCTGCAAACTCTTGGCCTTGAAATGTTCTTATAGATATCTTGGAACCGGCTGCTTCCTAGACATTGCGAACACTGCTGTTCTGTTGCACTTGGATCTCTCTGGACGGATCAAGGTCTCTCTATTCTCATTCCACGACGGTCCTAGAGGAATGCTCTTGGGTCAGTAAACAGGTGGATCACTCTGTCAGACTGAACTGCTGATGAGAAGAAACCTCACAACAGACGAGTGCCAGAAATTTAGTATTCTAGGTTTTGAGAAGTTGAGATAAAATTATCTACTAAGTGGCAAAACTTTGGCATGGACAGAGCTCCAGTAACTAATAACACAGTCATTTGCTAGCAGTGAAAAATTAGTGGAGCTCTGTGCATGCCAAAGTTTTGCGAGTTAGCACAGAAGTTTCTACATCAACTTCCCAAAACCGAGAATACCGAATTTCTTGGACTTGTCAATTATAAGGTTGCTTCTCGCCGAAAAATCAGTGTGACAAAGAGTGAAAAGGGATCCATCTTGTCACTTGATCCAAGAGCATTCCTCTAGGGCTGGCGTGGGCTCCACCTGGTGTTTACCGAACCCAAGAGCTCCACCGACTGATAAAAAGTATTCCCATAGATAAGCTCTGTTACAACCATTCATTGCAGGCTTATCCAACTCAACATATAATCCGGATATAAAGATTTCGGCAGTGAAATAGCTGCCACTATGTCTTTGTAACCCCAACGTAACTAAGAATAGAGAGATAGACGATAATTTTTGGCTACCCAGGAACAACAGTTCACGGTCATTATGGAGAAACCCTTGATGAAAAAGATACATTAATAACGTTTATATATCAAAAATCAAGATCTGGTGACATAACACAAGGTTTTCCAAAAGTGGAACAAGTGTTAGAAGTGTGTTGAAGAATTCTTGGAATTAACGTATATAGAGAATTCTGGGAACCCCTTTGGGATTCGTGATATGCACGGAAGACAATTAAAAAATACACGAAAAATATAGTTATAACAGAACACATTGTAATAAATAAAATACTGATGCTGGATGTTCGTCAACAGATCTAAAATGAAAGGACTATGCTGGTTGCAATTGGATGTGTTATTGTCCCTGATGGATAATTTCAATCTATACTTGTGTGGACGTTTCATGCAAACGCACCATGGGGGAGAGATAAAAATGCAAAATCTCAAACTTTACTAAAAATTTAGGTAACCTACTTCAGACCTGATTTTATCTTAAATTTAAGGGTGCTTGGTTGACGCCTAGAGATAAACTTGACTGGATGATCAATAACCTGCCTTGGTCGTTCCACAGCTGATATTAGCTGATGCAAGGTAAGAACCAAATTATATCACCAATTAGTACAAAGAAAGAAGAATAAGTAAACTATCTGACTTCTTATTATACCATTAAAAGAAGAAGATCGCAGTGATACAAGAATAATAAACCTCGACATGACACAGAATCCGCAAAACAAATTCATCTTGTAAATGTGGATTGAAATTTACAATATCTTTGGTAATTTTGCAACGAAATCTAGCCTGTCATGTTCATTTAGGTGAACAGGATACACCTTGTAAAATATGGCCAACTACACTAAAATCAGGGAAAGAGAGGGATACATAAAAAGCATACGCAAGAGCACCTTGATCATTTTGAAATTGCTAGTTTCAGCCCAAAACACCCATTAGATATTATACGGAAAATTCCAGATTTCAGGTTAGGCTTTCCCTCTTCCCCTTGTTTAACGGTGTGACTAAAAAGTAAGAAAAATAAGTCGAGTGTCAGGTTTTGGCGGTTAACTGTCTCTTTCAAATACTTCTCTAGGAGATCATGGGTTTTGTGATAGGTCCACCAGAATACGTCTGCTTTTCAGGGTTATCTCCTTAAATACGTTAGTAGTATCTATTTTCTTAAAGAAAAAGCCTAAAAAATCTCCTCATCACTTGTTACTAAAATGACTATTATGAAATGGAAAGATAGTTAAGAAAATCCAATTGGCAGGTCAGATAAAATCCTACCACTCCCAATCTAGATCACCATAAAATCAGATTGGCGAAATCTAATCATCTTGGCCTGGAGGTCCAACTGAGTAAAGCCAAATAAAGTGTTAAAGTACCATCCCACTCATGCAACTCATTTGAGTCAGATCACTACTCTTGAAGGTGTTTGGATATGAATAAATTTATTTTAATTAGAGGTCACACAAAAGTAAAGTTCAATTGGACTCTGACAACCACCAGAGGTGATGGTAGGTGAGATTCTGTGAAGGTGAAGGCATACCCAGGGTGCTGGCGGGCAAAATGGTGACCAAGAGCAACGTGACAGCAAATGGTGTACAGGAGAACAAACTAGATTCAAGGAAGATTGGGGAGAAGAAAAAAAGAAAGAAAATAGCACTAATAGCGGTAATGATAGCTATGACAATGGACGATCTAAACTTCCAGTTATTTTCCCTCACCACATTCTAAGTCGAAAAAAGCAATGGGTGGGACAAGCGACTGTTGCTGTTGCTGAATTGTGGTTTGAGATACAACAATAACGGAAGTGATTCAGTGCTGCTTCGACTCTGACAGATCAACATGACTCACATGCGAGTCAGCACAATCCGTAAGAGTCAACAGGATTACAGTGAGTACAGCCGACTCAGATGTGTCCATCCTTTCTCCATGCAGTTGGACTCTTTCCCCATGCATTAATCCTTAGGCAGCTCAGGAGTCAGTATGATAGAGAAGTAAGCTTGTTCACACAATGTACACCTTTAAGTCATTATACAAAAAAATTATGCAACACTTGTTCTTTGGAAATAAGTGCATATCTCTTCCAACAGGCAATCCAGTTTAAGCAGCTAATCAGTATTTTACCTTCTCATCGTACCGGAAAAGAGACTGGTCAAGATATGGTGAAGGGCTTTGCGACTGGCAACCAAAATTTAAGGAAGCTAACATCTTTCTCACAAACTACAGAAAAAAAGTTGAAAAAGTTCAACAAATCAGAAAATAGATAATCCTGGAGCACACAAGAATTACAGAAAAGTACAAGAACATTCGAATTTATCAATCATATAAAGAAGAATAGCATAAATTTAAGAATAAAAAGATAAAATGCGTAAGGTTGAAATACTTGGATGCTTTAGCTTTACAGTTAATTAGCAATCAAGATCTATTTAGTAACTTGTAAGATTTTCTCAACCATACTATGCTAAAAACTATGGATTTTGTAAAATTGATGCAGCACGAAGTCCAACTTTCAAATATTTTCTCTAACCACTCCCATTTCAAGCAAGATTTCTGACTTAAATTATATGGGATTTTGACAACGAACATGGATGTGAAATAATAAAGCAGTGAACTATAATGCAAGGATGATTAAGCACGACTACAATCCGAAAGGTGCTTGGAAAAACCACGGTCAAGGTGCAGGACTTCGCCAGAGCTGTGTACTACGTGCAGAATGAGTTGGATACTGATGGACATTGGAATATTGTAGGATGACGAATTTTGGCTCATAAAACTAGAAGGTCTTGAAATATTGTAGGATTCTCATGATAAACCGTTCATGGATGGGGTGCCTAAGTCAACTTGTTCCCATTATTTTTAACCAAAAAACATCCAACTAATTTATTTTTTTTAAATATCATAGCATTAATAATGAGTTATCTCTCTTTAGGTCACCTCACAGCTTGCCCATGCGTTCTGATAACCTCCATGATTTAGATCAGACTCGGACAATGAAAAACGCAATTAGCTCATTAAGGCCTACTAGTAGTTCTATTCTAAATTCAGAGACGGATAGGAACTGAATGCAAAATGAAAGAATTCTGGTCTACTTCAAGTGAGTTCAAGTTGACAAAAACTGGTTGTAATTGTCTGGCACCCTAACCTGTTAACAGTGTTCCCTCTCAACTTTACATTCAAACAAAGGACCCAGTTTTCCCAACTAACTCAATACTCCTGATTCTTGAGAACCAAAATGAAGGAGATAAACAGCTGAAAAATGAACCCTAATCGAGTTGAAGTCTTTACCATTATTTTACAATAAAACTTTCATTTGAATCTGTTAGACCCCAATAAATGTAAATTACTCTAAGAGGAGTATGGGGGTATGAGAGTCACCAGAGGGTTCAGTGGGGGGTATGAAGATAAATTTTACGCAGGGGAGGAGGTATTAGTGCTGGTAATGGGAAGGAGGGGAGGGCTGTTTAGAGTTTCACGCAGTGGCATTACAAGAGAGAGTTGGTCCTCTCGAAAGGCCAACATGGCCAGGATCTAGGGTTCTTGCTGGAACCCAATCTCCATTTGTAGGTAAATTTCTAGTAATTCGTTCATCTCTGTTTTAGGTTCTTACAAACTGGTATCAGAGCGAGGTTTGATGGTGCCCAAGACCTATGACAGATGCGTCGAGCATCTAGAATAAGATATAAAAGATTAGAAAAAGAAGCCAAGGCATATGCTAGGGATAGAGGCGAAGCTACAAAGACTGCTAAAATCGAAGCAGATCTACAAAGATTAATAGTGATAGAGAAGAACACATAATGGACGGATTGCAACAGAACTCAACAGATGAGGTCAATGGAGGTATTGATGAAATGTTCGCTGCAATTCCAAGAAACTGTGGACCCCAAAGGAAAAACTCCCAAGAAAAAGGGGAAATCAAGCTAGAGAAAGTGATGAAGACTGCTCAGTTAACAGAAGAAAAGAAAGAACAGTTAGGTCCGTCTGGGACTTGAATGACCTAGATCACCTAGGCCTTTATGGAGCATCAAGCACGTTCTTGGATCGTGAAGGGCCCAGAAATTTAGATCAAATTTCCGAGGACTCCTAAATCGAGCAAGACCACTGAACTACTATTGAATACAACTAGAAAATGGATTTGCAATCACCAACAATCTGATAAAGTGGCCGAGATACAAGAAAGAAGAACCAAAGGATTATACTTCTCCTGCAATGAAAAGTATAGCCTAGAACACACTTGTAAAAGAGAGCTGGAAATTCTATTGGTGCAGAAGATGATCGAGGGACCGAACTTAATTCAGATAAGGAACAGAAGAACCATATTGGGCGGAAGACCGCAGGACCGGAAGCATTGATCACCAACGAGACAACCCACCAACCCTTGTAGCCACTTGAAACTCTATGACCACACTACAACAACAATTTCTTGAATTTCACCTTGAAGACAAGGTGGCTCTTGTAGGGGAGAGTGATGTTAGACCCCCAATAAATGTAAATTACTCTAGGAGGACTAGGGGGGCAGAAGGTTCATGTGAGGGTTAAGTTGGGGGGTATTTAGCTAAATGTTAGGTAGGGGAGAATGAGGTATTAGGGCTGGTTACGGGAAGGCAGGGAGGACTATTTAGAATTTCAGGCAGCAGCATTGTAGGAGAGAATTGGTCAGAAAAAACCAACATGGACAGGAGTTACGGTTTCTGCCGGAAACCACTCTCCATTTTCTTCTATTCATGTTCTTCTATTTATAATATTTATCTCTTTTTCGGGTTCCTATCCGAATCATGTGAAATTGGCATAAGATAATATTGAAACAAAACAGTAGGATAGATTTTTGTGAAGACATCAGCAACATCTTCCCTCTTGGATGGCCTGAGTTGAGTTTTCCATCTTCAACTGTTTCTGAAATGAAATGATTGAAATCCTTCATCTGCTACGCCCAACTTTGATGAAGTGGATTTTTTGCACTACGATTGCAGATTTGTAGTAAAAAAAATCAGTAAATAGCTTCTTTTAGCTTTCATCTAGCTTTTGTAGGCAGGTTCTTGAGTCCTTTCTGTAAGTAGGATCAAAATATGAAATGGTAACATGGAACAACAGACTTCAAAGGATATAAATGAGGCTGCAAGAATTTCTTAGGGGCAGAACCAGAGGACTTCTTTTGCTTTGATGGACATTCTAAACTAGTATTCTCTTGAGATGTACTTAAGGCTGAGGTCCGAGATTCGGGTGACCAATTTAGCCATCTCATTTAGCACTTTTGTTCCCTTCAGTTGTCATGGTATTACAGCCAGTCCACGTTGAGAAAAGGAAGTGGAGCTCTGGATCTTCGTTGTAAATGCAAAATCTGGTTTTAGGCGTGCAGATCTCAGCTTCTCTATCTCGTAGCCTTTTAACATCTATTTCTGGCCAGCTCTATTGCTTCTCCTCATTGTTTCAAGCCATGATTAAGCCCCCAAGGTTTCTCTCATTGTTTCAGATCTTCGATTAGGCATATATTATCTTTAGATTATATTGCTGAATGGATATGCAAACAACAACAACAGATATTAACGCGTACCTGAACTGGAAAGAAATGAGTAAAATCAGGGAACTGAAACAGTCCAAGCATTTCCTCTGAATTTATGCACTTATATTTAGAAAGCAATTCAGTTCTATAAGAGCAAATTCCTTAAGCTGTTCTTGCATTCATAAGGGTATTACAAGGGCCTTCTATGAGAGAGCACATTCTCATGAAGCTAAGCCTTGAGTTTGAAACTGTATGAGGTAATTAATAAGAGAAAAGTAAATGATACCCTACTTGAATGCGAAACCAGTACCAAAATTTGAGGAATGTTTTTGAGAAGTATCTCATGAAGGCTATAGAATTTTATTTCAAGCTAGTCAGGAATTTCAAAAAGAAGTATTAGTTATTAGCTTTACAGCCTAAACTGCTTTAAAAACTTGGGATCTTCGAAATACTTGATGTTACTCATGTAAAAAAGTTGTGCACACTACAAGGACAGTTCACTCAAGTTCAGCAGATCTTGCAAAAAAGGGGGCATATTCTTAGGGAATCCCATCATTCCCACACGGTTTAAATGAATATTAGTTGATCAACTTCTACTGAATCAATGTGCACTGCCAATCAGTTTTCAACAGATTCCTTCATGGTCACCCCAGAATCTACCTACGAAGTGATTCAATCCGTATTATCCATAACATAGATAATAAGTCTCCAAACACATCGGGGGTACACCAACTCTAGAGCATCAAATCACATAACGCTCACCTCAGATGTTTTTTATACCTTGACCCTTAATTCTAATATTTCCCAAGTTAGTGTTGCTAATGTAAAAAGCATTGACATCTGGAGCATCAGTACTATTGATTCTCATAATCTTAGCATCACCAATATGTTTCACGTTTATAGGTTATAAACTAACTTACCCTCTGACGACCTCAATTGGTCGATAATAATCAAATGGTCTTATTCTCTTGCATTAATTGGTTGAAACAGGACCAGGAAACTAGGAAGTGATAGGATAGGTGCATAAAGATGGTCGGCTGCTCATGCTCAGAAAGTTTTCACAACTTTTAGAGAAATTCGAACATCGTCCTCATGAATTTTCTGTTCTCTATGAGACTATATCAAATAATTTGTGGAGTCTATGACATCTTTAGATAGGTCACCCTTTTTTTACATGATGATAACATCAATGCCATCAAGATTACCGAGAATCCAATTTTTCATGAACGGACTAAACATAACGAAATTGATTGTCATTATAATCGGGCTGTCTATGATCAGCTTCTTTTCTCACCAGCATGTCTACCATCAGTTTCTCATAGATAAATTACTCGTAGTTGATTTACCAGTATCAAACTCACAGAGCATCAAGAGATGTTTATATTTCGACTTTCCATATATAGGATATTTTTTAAAAAAAATGCTCTGCACCAGGATTCCTGATTTTTGGGGTATGCAACTATCCTTTGATTTAAAGCTGTAGTTTCCATAAACAGTTTCCCATGTTTTCTACATACTAAACTTGTATCCCCTTGGGATGAATAACGAGGGCTGAGGTCTGGGTTTGGGGTGCATAATCTAGCCATCTCCCTTATCACATTTGTCCCTTCCGTTTGTCTGAAAGTTTGCTATATGGGATACTCTATTTCTCTCTTTCTGGTTTCTACTTTCCATTCAATATCTTACTGTCATTACAGTTTCTGACTGTCCTACACCTGCATGTACCATACATAGACACATGTTGGCTTGCCACTTGGCATCTATCAGTTAATATTGAACCAAAAAAATTATTTAATTAAAAAATATTAATTTCATAATCAGTTTAGATCGATTAACGAAATATTTTATGAACAACTATTATATTTCTAGATGGGAATGATCCGACGTCTCAAAGAGAGTACAGAACATTTCAAGACAACTAAAAACGAGAAAGAGAGAGGAATGAGCTTGTAGGTAACTGAAAGACAGTGACGAAACAAAAGATGGAAATGGTGCCAGCATAGAAGTGGATAGGAACGTAATCACAAAAGAAAAAACTACATCTGTCACTGTAGAAAACACTAAGGAATGAAAGATGAAGGTGTATTTAAGTGCATTAATTTTTAGAAAAAACTTGCTGAGGCCTGGAAAACGAGTCCGAATGAACCAAGTGATTAGATGAGAAAAGCCAGGAGTTAAGAAGAATCTGCCCCAGAAGCCCAGGAGTGTAACAGAACACTATCCCCACACCCCGCCCATTTAAACACACTCCATCCAACAGGGCTCTTCACTCAAGTTCCCACCCTCCAGAAGACAAACACCTGACAATATTTATATGAAGCATATGCATGAAGCTTTATTCATGGTTTTTTTACCAAGTATTATAATGGAATATAGTTTAGAGCTCAAACAGAGTTGAAATTTACCTGTGAAAAGCTGCTAGTTTTGTTTTTTATGCTATTGAGCTGTTCAAGAGCGTGAATACTGTTAGAGTGAGAAGATATAAAGTTGACATGAGAAGAATATCTTGAAGCTACAAGAAAGTGATCGCAGAATTGCTCAAACAGGTAATAAAGCTCTTCTGAAGAATTCTGCAACAAACATAAACATGAGGAGGAGAATTTTTGAGTTAGCATAGAGAAGTAAAAGAAGTGACCTCATAATATGCCAGTAATCAAGGAACATTTACCTGATGGAACGAAATTATCTCTGTAGTTTCCATGTTATATACAGCAAAGAATGCAGGATATTGTTCTGCACTCCGAGACACCTGACAGATATAAGAGACAACGTCCATGTGATCATAATCAATCTACAATACATACATCCAGATATACTTATTCTATAATAAATAATTTTGCATTATCAGTCTTATCAAAAAATATTTTAGAGTACATTGTACTTACCACTCCATCTACACTACCAAACTTGATCAGTAAATGATGACGGTCCAAGAACTGTACCTTTACATCGTAACAAAAAAAAATAATCAGTTTTGAAAATGGATGAACGCGAAAGAGAATTTTTAGGAAATCAGGAGAAACTGGGCGATATATATCCAGGTCTATGGCGAACAAGAGCTCTCTGAACAGTAATGGAAGTAATCTGAGAAGTTCCATTAAAATACTGCATTTAAGATACAGACATGGACCTTGATGATAAGGCAGGAAACGAGAGGAATCCATTCCCAGGTCAGAAAAAATTGGCATCAATGCTTTCAATTTGAACAATGATAAAAACGAATATTAAAGACAAACAGCAGTGGATTATTTCCAAAGTTTTTAAATTAGAGTGGGCAATACCTGCCAAAGTCAAGATGTATAAGAATGCTGGAGTACAGGCTAAAGAGAGAATTTTAGATTCATGTACAGACACTCCACCATACAAAGAGCAGAAAACAGAAAACTCCAGTTGAAACTTCAACAATGCTTGGAAAACATGATAGGCTAGAGTGCAAATCTCAGAACCTCCATAGACGTGATGAAGCCCTCATTGAAAAGAATAATGGAACAGAAGCCAGGAAGGGCATAAATCATGAAGACGTGGACTTTTTCAACATCCTGGTTTCCATTATGACACTTGTCACAACTATTCTATCATGCGCTTAGACCTAATTTTTAACATATGTAGCATCCAATCTCAATTTTCTAAGAGAATCCACTCGAAGATAACCCTAAAATTGCTCAATCAAATAAAGGGTCTAATCATTGCACAGAATTTCATGACCTCTTTTCAACTTAACCTCAACTTACATGTGGTAGCACAAAGTGCTTGCCAGGCTAACAAATAACCACTATTTGATCTTCAGGGCTTTAAAGTAAAACTAAATCAAAATACAATCATCGCCTTGTGCTTTGGATAAACTGTTGGATTTACCATTAGTCGTATCCTTGTCCAATTAAGTCTACGAAATGCCTGTTATGAATGCATACCCGCTCAAAAAAATTATGAACCCTCTGCCTTTCCATACCTGCTGCTAAATTTATTTCTGAAGGTTTCAATTCTTGAGTAGGCAACACCTAAACAATAATTTGAAAATGAATAAATCGAAAAATGAAGTACAACAAGGTAGCATTTTATGCTTACTTTGGACATCACAAGATCAACATAATCTTGAAAATGAAAGTAGAACTTCTTCTTCAGGCCTTGAACACGCTAAAAAAAATTTGCAAATAGTTAGCATTATCAAGATGCATAGACTGCAAAGATTTTGGCTACAAAATAATGGTTGTGTAAATACATCAATAATCGGAATTATATTCTTGCAGTAAATTTTGAGAAAAAGTCCTCTGATCCAACCTACACACAAGATCCAAAGTTTATTAGCACAAATGGATAGACGCATTTTTCAACCTATGGGACAGAAAACAGAGGGTGGCTGTAACTCGAAAATGCATGGCTACTCATAACTCGTATGAATAATGAATCATCCAAAAAGCTAAAATTAGCAGAATAAACAATGTATTATTGATAATTAAGAAGCTTTTATGCTATGTAGACGTTTGAGTGGACCTTTAAACTTCATTGTCAATGGGATTATTGTGCATATATTATTGATAATAAACAATATCCATGAATTCTCAATTCCATTTGTTCATACAGCACCAAGAACAGTCCTCTTGATAATACTGTAGCAGATCATACTGTAGGATTGGAGCAATATTACCTATAGATAAAATGTTTTTTTTCAATTGATGTACTTCAAAGATCGGTTCAACTGTGATATATTGCAAGTAGAAAGATGATTCTTCTTCAATCAAGTCAGCATTCATACTACAGTTTACATATAAATTATACAAAATAAATGTGGTCTAATGTCAATAACTGTGATGCGTTTACAATCTTACGCAAATATACAATCTTCCCCAATTTCCATCAACACTAGATGTATGAACATCCACCATCAAATAAAATTATGACAATGTAGTCCATATCAGTAGTGTTCACAAATCATTCAGCAGCCAACAAAAGAAGAATGATGAGATGAGATGACAATTCCTAAATAGATTGCCTTTCAGATTTCATGATCCAAGAGGTGAACCTCTTTTTTTCTTATACTCAGAAGTTGACAGCATCCTATTTGCACCAAGATGGTGCAAATGAAGAAATTAACTATAAGCCCAAAATAACAGACACTGAAGATTACTTGTTCCAACAAAATCCTCACCCACTGCTCCATCCTACACATAAATCATCCTTCTAGTTGATAACATTTTTGTCTTTTACAATTATATTCCTCTCCCACCACGAGGCCCAAAATGTCACATGCAAGATAAATCGCCACATCTTGTGTCTCCAAATATTCAACAAAAGATCCACATATCTTCATGAGGCTCATCATTTGATGAATTTCTGTTCATATAGTTTGTTTTTCTAAACCAGTAACAAAGGATGAGCATCAGAACTACAATGATGTCTTTGATGTCTATACTCAGAAGCTATCAAAAGAACATTTTTTACTCGTGATGAATCTGGCAAATAGCCATACCGCAAGAGTTACGGTAGGGTTAATGTAGATCCTAAGCAAAGTGATATTAAAGATTCCTGACTACAGCTTATCAAGCTTAGCATCAGCTTTTCAAGTTTTAAGAGCAAGGCTTTTAATTCACCCATTTATGGATAAAGAAATGTCAAATAAGAATCATCCTGAAACTACCAATGCAGGTAAACTTCAGTCAAAATATTGGCTGATCCAACAACAATGGGAGGCTAACCTCATTTATTTAATGAGAGACGAAGAAACTCCAAACCGCATGGTATTGGATCAGACTTTAGATGAAATCAACTTAAAGGAACAAAGTTTGGAGAGGATAATCCAGTCAATAAAAGAGCACAAAAAATATATATATTGTCTAAAAAATATATTTTTAGTGCAAAAACATAAAAATATGATCAGCTTAATTTGACGTTTCCTATGAGCATTCATGACATTGTTAGACAGCCTATAGTGACCCACAATCCCCCGTTCTCAGGAGCCAAGGTTGACACCAGCAGTCCACAGAAATAGCTAGTCCCAAAAGTAAGCTTCTTTTTGTCTCAATTTTACATTTATCATTGATCCCCCACAATAACACGAGAAACGGCCAATGTCTCTTCAAAGACTCAGACATCTCTGAATCGACTGATTCAAGTACGACCAGATCATTCAGCATTATAATTTCTATTTCAACACATTACTGAAACTACCTCCCTTGATAATAGATTTTAGATCCGTAGAGAGTAAAGGATTTGGCTGATCAAATCAACATCAAACATGATTTTTTCCCAATCAACACAGTTATAAAAACAAAAAATAAGTCAGAATCGCAAAGCTGACAGTAATTAAGATCTAGTTAAATAATTTAAGCAAATCATATTTACTAACATCTGGATAAGCATTGAAATATTTAGATAAAACTAAGAAGTTCGGCCCTAGTTAAAAAAGATATTATTTCCATATTGGAGATAGTTTTTTTTTTAAATAAACTTCATATAAAACCACAGAAGTGAAATTCAGAGAGTAACAAGTTGACTATTGGTAAATATTTCGATCGTAAATAAGAGCTATAATTAAAGCTAAGCTAAGAAAGAAACTTGGAAAATCAAAAGATTCAAAGAATTCATTAGTTAGGTATAAAGAAAAAACAAATGTCCAGAATCCAAATGTTAGGTGACAATTTAAGATGCAAGTGTACACAGGCTGGATAGCGAAGTGGTACCAGAGCACTATCTATTTCTTCACTCCATAGCCCACGAAAGATGAAAGAAAGCAATCGCTGCTTAATACCAGACAAAAAAGAAATCCCTTGCCAATCCTGTTGTTGCTGGCGGCCATTTTCTTCTTCGGTAGGGGGGGATGGAGAATCTTCTCTTGAGTTATCAAAGGTTGCAGCACACTGAGAGATAGGACAACAATTTCTGAGACAGGCAGCATTCTACAATACCCAATTATTTGGAAATGGGAGATGACAAACTGTATAGGCATAATGATGAGGCAAGTGACAACAAAGGTACAAATGAAGAACTGAAATGTTTGATGACATGAGGCATTAAATAACCATTCGTAAACACATAAATAAAAATTAGCAAATGTCATAAAAGTTAAATTGAAATAAACCTAAGAATTTATAGTTAGCTGCACTGAAACTAAATCTTATCTAAACAGCAAGGAAGAAAGAAAAAAGTTGTTTACAGATTTTGTTTCTCTATGAGAAAATGGTGGAGGTTGGTGCCAAGGCAACTGGAAGAAACAGTTCAGAACCAACAAGGACTCCGAACCAGTAATGATTGCAACTGAGTATACTAAAAACAAAACAATTTGGTACTAGCAACATGAAGACCAAAGTATTCAAATCAGCTGCCTGGCACTGATTTCGACTGCAATCGTTTTTCAGCACCACTGTCTCTTCCATATCATGGTTAGTATTAATTGAATACTCTGATCAACTCCATGGAATAATTAGTTTAATTTTCACTGTAGATTTTTTAAATGTTCGTCGATGATCCATATCTTGTGATAGTTCCTTATTTATCAACTCTACCAAGGAAAATGATGACAGAGCTCTACTGTCAAGGAATTATATATGTAATTTTTGAAGAAGAAAAAGCATGAAAAATATTTTGGTATAGATCTTAGAAAGTATTTACTAAAAATATTAATCAATCAAGAAGTTTCCTTTTTATAATAGACATCTTCCCCAGCTTGGAACTTTTTCCATTCCAATTCTCAAAGGATGTTTGAACTCTTTGAGTTTTACTTCCTGCAAAGTTGTATCTCTTGTCATTTCATACATTTTTAGTTCTGTTGGACATTCAACTGGCCATGTTGCTGATAGCATCCATAGTCGCCCTTGTATCCTAGAAACAAAACTGAAGCCAGAAACAGACAGCATGCATCCCAACTGTGAAGAATCTTGGCATTGAGAAAGCTATGATTTAATTCGATTAAGCTTTAATTAAAAGCATCTTTCTTAAAGAGTAATAGCAATGTTTAAGATTCGTCTTTATCTGAAAGATACATTGAGGTGCAGCGTTTTGAAAATACGGTAGACTGTCATGTGATAAATAGCTTGTAATCGAAACAAAGTTTTGAATCCCTGATGATGCAATGGTTTGATGAATTAATCACAGCCATACAAATGCAATGAAAATGTTTGTGAATGCACTTGCCTGGGAATGGGAACTAAGAAAAAGTTCATCATCTTCTCGACAAAAATTACCAATTGTCCGTACAGCAACAAGGCTCCCAGAATCTCTGATTTGAAGAATGTGGATGGCTTGGTAACGTAGAGACATGATGCATAATAAATCATCATATAGGAAAACTCCCATGTTATGTGGCAGATGGATAAAGTCATTGTGAAAGACTTTCTCATCAAGAATAGTTCCATCTTCCAATCTGCTGATTCGACTATAGTTAATGATATGAAAACAAAAATAAAGCCTGACTCTTGATTGCGTCAACAATATACGTGAACAAACAAACCTCACGAGGTGAAAAGTAATCTTCTCAATTGATGGGACCCCAGGGATTGCACCCTCCAGGGCAGGGGCATTATGAATTTGCACTGTTGAAGTTGCAAACAAGCCAAACTGATGACTCTCCACATAGAGGAAGAAGTCTTTGCAAATAAATTCGCTGCAGGATGCAATTGGCGTAGAGTAAAGCTGGGTGAAGAAGCTGTCAAACCTCTGAGCTTTGGGAGGCAGATCACAAGACCCACAATCTTCCTCCTTAAATGAAAATGACAGCCAAGTGGGTCTATAAACAATCAACTCTTGATGAGATCTGCTGAAACTTATCAGGTACTGGCCATCATCTGTAAATTTTTTGAAAGAGTTGTCTGGACAATCAACATCATATATAGTATAACTAGGAACCAAGTTCTCGTAGAACTGTCTGGCACAATTGACCTGTCAACATCAAAGTGAAAATGATACTCTCTACAGGCTTATGTAAAAAGAAAGTATATAAGAATGCCAATGAATTTTTTGAAGATACTATTCGTAATTAAAGAACCATAGAGATGATGAAACATCAACTCATAACTAAAAAAACACAAGTTGGCACAATCAGCAATGCTCAAATAGAAGTCAGATCGTCAAGCAGCAGAAAAAGTCATTACATCCTCCCTGGCCCAGCAGAGCAAAACAACTGATGAAGAGAATGACCATTCCAAGACGAGTCTATTTATCGCGCCTCTAATAATTTATCAGTCATAAAATATTCTAGGCTGAAAAAAAATGTCATATTTTAATCAAACTTAATAATTCCAGATGAACAACAAAGTACTTCACCATCATCATCATCTACTGGATCCTAACTAAGTGACATAAGTATGTTGAGCTTACGCTGACTAAAACTCATACACCATGTTCATACTCCACTTCCTGTCTCTCGGTCCTTACAAACTGTTTACAGAGACCTCCCCATAGGTGATCCCAGAACATGGTGTAATCTCGATCGGCGGGTCGATTCTTTCCGTTTGATTCTTGCCAAGTAATTTCACCAGACTTTGTCATTCCTGCGAGCACTATAATAAACTATCTAATTATACAGCTTCCATGTATTATCTTGCACCCATTCTCATATCCATGTTTAATCTACTCCCATGGCTTCAGTATGGTTTTCCTAATAACTGAGTATTATAGTTTTTCACTCATAGTATTCCACCAATTAATGCATCATAGATAAACTTAACCACCACTCCTAATACAGCTTTCCGAATCAATCCATCATCGATAAACTTAGCCATCACTCATAAAATTCATCTCCCGTACATTACTCGATCCATGTTCGAATAAAAGATGACGGATAACTCCACCATAAGCAACATTATTGAATTTAAATCTCAAGATAAAATGAGAAAGGATCAACATAGCAACTTAAAACAAAAAAGGACGGAATGATTTGAGGAAATTATTTATAGGGGATGACTCAGTGAACGGTGGTCAGATCAAACTGCGGATTCCATAATCCTTAACAAAGCTTTCAATGTTCACACGGATTTCAGATATGATTTAGCGTCCATGTATCTGAAGAACTGAATAAGCTCATGACAGTTAACCCTAAGGTGATCATCTTGCAGAAAACCCAAGCCAGCCCCGTCTAAGCAGCCATCAAGCATTATACAGTCAATAATAACACATTTAAGGATTATGAAGCTTATCAAATGTTTGAATCAGATATATCTGGCGTGTACACAAAGATGTATCACAATATAACTTTCTCCTAGGCGTGACCAACAGCTGTGTGGTGTATTCCCAGTTTATGATGTATTCCATACATCGACACCTCTGTCAGAATGAAATCAATGAAACCAAGATGTTGGAGAGACTGACGATGCCTGGTCAAAATATGAGACTCAATGTCATTGGAAACAAAGACCCATATTAGCTTCAACATCGTCAGAAATCTCGGCCGTCTGAGACTAATCTGCCACTTACACTAAAAGTCTAGAATAACAAACAATCGTGATCTCATCATGGTTTATTGTCGTTGTTTAGAACTAAGCAGATGGTAGATGCACACAACTAATGAGAAGACATCACTCTTTGAGAAATCAGAAGCATCAGATGCATCATTGACTTGGATTTAAAATTTCATGTAAAATTTCATTGGCATGGACTAATCTGTCGCTTACACTAAAAATCTGGTATAACAAAACAACCATGATCTCATCATGGTTTATTGCCATTGTTTAGAACTAAGCAGATGGTAGATGCACACAACTAAGGAAAAGATATCACTAGTTGAGGAATCAGAAGCATCAAATCATCTATTGACATGGATTTAAAATTTCATGTAAGTTATAGATACATCAATGATTTTGAGAGAGAACTACAGATAGAACTAGAGCGTGTGTATCAGATATAGAACGATGGCAGAAAATTATAAAATATATCTCTTAAAAGCAAGGCGATGCTTAATCAATTTTTTACTATTAAGAAGGAAATTCTCTTCCTAGTAGTGCAAATCTGTTCTCAGAAATTGTAAATCCGTCACACAACTGGCTCCTCCTTGTGACTGGCAGCAAAATAAACAGAATGAAAACAGTGAAATGGTACACTACTTTAGGTTACACAGAAATGGACGCGTTTATAACATTCTTAAAGATCATTAGTTTGTTAAGTATCTAGAATCTTCACCACAGTGTAATATCAACAAGTAATATTTTTTTCTAGATCAATCTAGAGATACTGTACCCAAAGAACACATACAGCGTGTGATCTTATCTATAATTGACAGTTTCGCATACCACCAAAGGCATCGGTCATTCTCGCCAACAAGAATGGAAGGTCCACAACAGCCGCAACCTATAAAATCATGTTGAACTGTAGAAGGAGAAGGAGCAGAATTTTCCGTGAGGAAAGCACCATAAAATGGGCCCTTCCAAACCACGTACTTTTATTCACTCTCACACTACATGATGAAACGTTAATATCCTATAGATACAGTAAATTTTTCATATACCAGTGAAATCGTCTCAGTTTTCACAATGAACACTGTGCCATCAAATTTTGTACCAACCTTTAGCCCACCGTCAATTAGTCGTTCTAAGATTAATCAAATGCACTACCACAGAAGTTCTTTGGAAAGGAGTGAATCTCACAACAAATTCACAAAGGATATTGGCTTTTGAAACAGTTGTCTGCGTCATGTGATCCAAGGTTCGAGGACAATATAAACTGCCTCAGATTGCATATTTCACTAAAATCGAAGTTTTTCGGAGACGGGACTCTTTTCCGTATAGGGATTGCTGCACGTATAAGCAAAGGATCAGTACAACTGCTGGTTTCAGATAATGTAAAGTGCCGCCTAGGCCATATTCTGCTCTCTCCACACCTCGGTAGAATAGCGTTTTATAATGCTCAACTTCAACAACGGACGGAATTGCCAAACTGAAAAAGGAAGATCCGGGGGGCGCATACACTGGTCCCCGGTCGGGGCGTGAGGATCTGGCGCTCGAAAATCCTGGCGGTGATGTTTCCGCTCCTGTACATGTTCTTCTTCCGCAACGACGCGCATGCCTCAGCTCCTGCACCATCAGGCGGCGGCGGCAGCAGCGATCGCGTAAGACTGCACTCCTCCCGCACCTCGCTCCTCCCCCCACGCAGCGGCAGGAATAACCATCAATCGACCGCACCAAACTCAAACTGCGCCACGATCGCGGAACCAGCCGAGGACGGGAAGCGACCGCGAAGAACCGCGGAGGAAGAGGACGCGAACTCCAGAGAAACCTCGGGACGCTCTTCGGCGTGCGCGGTAGCGCGAAGAGGGCAGCTCGGTGGATAAAGTGCATAGAAGACACGAGAATCGTCATCAAGAACCCGGACGAAGCGCCGGCCCTGGTTGCGCACGTGTCTTGTGCTTCTCGTAAGTATTAGTGCCCCTCTTCTCTGTCAGTGATACCGGTAAACCCCACACCCCCACTGGTGATGAGTGAGTGAGTACACGTGCCAAAAAACACACTATTCGTGTATGTATGTATGTATGTATGTATGTATGTATGTATGTATGTATGTATGTATGTATACATTTAGTGTATGCTTTGAGGGTATTATGTCTGTAATAAGTGCCAATACCTATGGTTATTTGGCATCGGCTCTGGCCTCATCTTCCTGGGTGGAAGTGTGAAAATAATAATAATAATAAGAACACTTTTAGTTCACTTTTAGACCCATTTTTGTTCACTTTTAGTTCACAAAATCTGCCCACTTGGTTTATTTTTTAAAAAAATTGATGGGAGAAAATAATTTCTCATGAAATTCTAATCTAAATATTTCTCATATCTAAGAAGGGTATTGTAGTTGAAGAATAAAAACAATAAGAATTATTTTTTTTTTAAAGACTAATGGCCAACGTAAACAAGTATATCTGCTTTTTCTGGGGATATTCTAAGAACCAAAGCTAAGAAAATCATGAGATCTCGTTGCTGCATTCTTTATATTGTCTGTGTTCTTAAATTCTTTTATATTTGACTTACAAATCATCAGAGGTTTAGATAACAACAAGTGGAGTCTATGAAGGCCTAGGAAAGAGGTGCTTCATGGGAGTGGGGGGAATGAGTGTTGACTTTTAGAGTTTTTTTTTTTTCAATTTTCATGTTGATAAAAGACAAAGAAGGGCATAGTGGTAATTTTTAGCACCAAAATTATGTTTGATATTTATAAAAATATTGAAAAATAGGTATCCTATTCAACTTAAAAGAAGGTTTAACAAACACATACAAAAGTCCACTAGTTACAATGCGTAATGAGTAATAGTAACGTTCACATGTGAGGTAGCTTCTTGGTTTCCAATGAAGTTGGAAGGTTCAAAGTAGGTGTAAGAAAGTGTTTAATGAAGGTCTACAACATTGTCCTATATTATCCAACTTGAAATTTCACAAGAAGCGACTATGGCTCATAGATGAGCATGATATAGTAGTTCATATTGAGAGCTTCATTACTCGACTAAGAAGATAAAACATGATGTAAAATATAAAATAGTATGCACAAAAGAAAGAAAAGCTAAAAATAATATTATATTAGAGATTAAATTATAAAAAATATTTTGGTGATGCCAAAACACTTAAGATCAATAAATGAATGGAAATATGTTGATTATTTACTATATATTATTTACAGATGCATTTGTTTGGGACATGAGCTTGACAAAATCATAAAAAATACAAAGTGAATATGTTAAATATCTCAACAATAGCTTAAGATATGTATTCAAACCTCATTGTTTTGAGTTTAAAATCTTTTCAATCCAATTTATTGCTCAACAGTATTACCTTAATTATTGATTTTAGAAATCTTATTATTTACAAAAATAGCTACTACTATAAAATTATGTTTAGCACATCAAATTTAACCAGAATTTTGACGTATGAAAAGAGTTTTCTAATATATTAAATGTTTATGGTGCAAAATCATTACTTCTGATTATTCTTGATGTTTAATTAATTGATTAAATTTGAACTTTTTAAATAATCGATCAAGAATTTCAGAATATTGATAAATATTAATTGAAAAATAATTTTAAAATATAATAATTCATCGAAGTACTGGTGGTGTTATTTTATATTTATGAGTTATTTTTTATCATACCTTCTATTTAGATGTATTCTCATATCATACATTATTACTCATTAGTTATTAATTTATGATGGAGAATAGATCAAGACATGATTGAGGGTGCATATTTTATATTCACGAGTTATTTAAATTAATTTTGAATGAAAAATCATTACCTTATATTTAGATGTATTCTCAATTATGTTTTAGCAATAATGAATTTGTATTGGACTTGATAAGCTTTGGATATATACATTAGTTCTTAATGATTACACACATTGGTCTCTCCTAGAGGATATCCAAGTTTTACAAAAATGTTGTGTTGGTTTATGATCATTCCAATTTATAACCAATTTTAGGATTTTAATATTGGGAAACAAAAAAAGGGAAGGTTTTTGACTCAAAATTCATTATAAATTCAACCTCTTTCCACTAACTAATTTATTATCCAATTCACCCTAGATATTGAGAAAATCATATTTTCTATGAAATACGCAGTCCCAATTCAATTGATTATTTCAATATTAAAACAACCAAGAATTAATGACCTAGTAACATAAGCACGTAACAGACTTGGTAAGCTTTCATATTCATGTTTTGCTTGAGGTAGTCTCATTTATTCGAATGTGGCAATCATTACTTTCTTGTAGTAACATATTTTGTAAATATTTACACCTTCCATAATATTATGTAATATGATAATTGTTGTATAATGAAAATAGTTGGTTACATAGATTTGATATTACTGTTCAGATTTATGTTAGATTAATCTTCATCCAAACATTCATCAATATTATATCCACTTTGATAACATGCTATTTATGCATGTAATTATATAATTATTAATGCAAATTAAGGCATTAATCATTACAAATATATGCATGTTATCACATTTTAAGTATATTTCTATCATTTTGTGTAAATTCATGTTATGATCTTAAAATACACCAAATTATGGATTATTATAAATAATTACACATTACAATCTTTAATCCTAATTATATTTATGATCATAATCATGTTTTAAGAGTGAAAATATGAGAGAAAAGATATTTATTAACATTTATGTATTTATATAAATTTATTTTATATAATACATAAATGTATAAAATTAATTAAAATTTATTCTCTTCTTATTTTAATAATTTAACCTTTTATAATGATAGATTATTCAATTTTGAATCCAAAAAAACAAATTTGAATTAATTTGGAGTCGTATTTTGAAAGTTATGATTTTTACAATTTTATAGAATTTTCTGGAATTTTTCTGAATTTATTTATATTTATTTTCGATTTTTAAATGTTTTAAATTAATTAAAAAAATCGCAAAAAGGGATTATATGTCGCACGTGTACACGTGGTACTCGGGGCCACGTGGCTCTACCACGTGGACAGCATGCGGGCGCCTGCGTGGCGCTGATGTGACATGTGGCGTATTTATATTTACTATATATATTTATTTAATAAAGTATATAGGTCTTCCGATTATCGGAAGACAAAGTATTAATCCCTCGTAATCATCATATCTTATATACCCGAATATACTCCTTTGTTTTTCTCGTATGGGACTAAAGTCCCTTAGTTTTCTTATGTGCAGGACGCGTGACGTGATCTCGTGCGTCCGATCGACATCGCGACAAATAGCGTGCGTAGATCACGTGGAATCGAGGTCCACGCGATCAGAGATCAACCACGTGCCTAAATACTCACTTAAGTGAATAAATCGCGACCGTCTGATCAAGAGTTATAACGGTCCAGATTATTCACATCAGATGGACATCCAATCACATCTTAACCGCACGATCACGATCGAACGATCGTCGAATCGTCGCGACGATTCGTGAAGAGGCGTCTCATCGCGATCGTCCATCGCGATCAACTCCATCAGATCGGACGGCCAAGATCATTTCCAAATTTTATAAAATCCGTTCTTCGCGACGGAAGAACTGCCCGCGATCAATCTTCAAATTCTCTTTGTTTAGAGCTCCAATTCGCGCGCCATCTTTTGCATTGTGTTTGAAACTCATTTCTGCTTCTGTTGGATGTTTAATTTCAATTTTTGATTGAAAGAATTGGAAGAAATCAAGTCTTGAACTCCTCTTTCGTCTTCGAAAATTCGGAATGAAAAGCCTTACATCCGGCGATTAATTGGATCATTTAGAAGGCTAATTTGGGTTAGATTGTTTGTTTTCATCTTAATCTTTCATCATTTAGTGTTAATTTTACTTTAAGTATTGTAGATTAAGTTTAATTTAATTTTAATTTCTATCTTTAATCATTTTGCAATACGAAAATTTCTCTTAACTTCAAACTTCGATTACTCTTCAAATTCTCATCCAAATCACCTGATTTTTGATTCCGTGGATTCTAAATTGAGTTATCTTTCTTAATATACTAAATTGCCCAATTGATAACCTAATTTCATCGTCCGATTTGATCGAATTTCAAAGATATCTCTCAAATTTCCCTAATTCTCCGTGGATTCGACCCTTAATTACCATTATACTAATTAATTACTTTAATTAATCATAAATTGGTAAGATTAGGACTTTGTTTTGACACTGAATCGTGTGCATTCAACGACCATACGATTTAGTCTCGTCACACTTTAGTGTAACTGTCTTTATATTTACTCTCATATCATGCAAGTTTTAGAAAAGGTATAATTTGATCTGCTTAATGTACTATGTATTTGGTTGGTAAGTATCAAAATATTTTTCATATAATGCTCTCACACAAATGACAAGATTCTATTTGATTCTCAAGGGATAGAACTTGAGAAACTTTACAACAAAATTATCATACTCTAACCTATCATTCATATGATAGTATAAAATATTTATTTCACAACTCTTCAAAAATCCTTTTCCATCACTAGGTTGCTAAAACTCTCCTTACCATCAGTAACCATTTTCTTGCTTTTCATCTCACAAAGGGTCTAACCATTAAACTTGTCAAATTAATCCTTTTTAACATAATAATAGAATATATTATGCACACCAAACCTTCGATTCCACAAAGTGTGGTGATTGCCCTTCTCCTCCATTACTTCAATATTGATCTTGGGAGAGAAAATTTTACTCCAACAAATTTACTCTATTTAGAATTTTGGATTCCAAACATACCACCCAAATTTTATCAACTCCTATGATTTTCAAATTGTTGTACACAATTGACATATTATTTATGATCTAAAAAAGGTTCCAATGGCATTGCTGGAGTATTACCCTAGCTGGAGCTTAGACCCTCTCCATATTTTTCACAGGTGACAAAAAGAGGGGAGAAAACTTATAAGTCTTAAAGGTGAGCTATTCAAGTTTAGGGGAGCTGAGACAAGTGTGAAAGGAAAAAATCATAGAGAAAGGGGGAGAGTGGAGAAAATTTTAGAATAGATGAAGATGGAGTGAAGAGAGTGAGTTTTTTCATTCAATGACATTTTCAAATCTTTTGATAGAGCAATATGCAAATGTAAATTTTACTTTTTGTATGTATTCTTGAATTTCCATATGAAGTGGGAATTATTTTTTTCTAATTTCTCTAGTTATGTATTAAATGATCAACAATCCAATAGCTCTGATTACATCTTTATCTTAAAAAGATTTAGAATTAGAAATCAGTTTTCAAGTTTATAATTTTAAATTAAACTAATTTAAAATATATATTATGAATCTACAATACCAAAGTTTATTTGAAACTAACACTGAAATTGATATATTAAATCAAACAAATAGTTTTTATGAATTAATTGGAATAAGTTGAGAATTAGAATCACAACTGATTTTTGAAAGTATAATTGATCTATATTAGTGACATGTTATTACAAGTTTACCATCACCAAAATGAAGGAGATTGTTAGAACATAGATTAAATATAATTTTAGTGATGACGAAATATACATAAGAAAGATAATGGATTGAAATTTGTTGCACATTACTCTCATTGTAAACATGAACTTGAAACTGATTAAGTACAAATTATGAAAAATAAAAAGTGATAATGCTAAATATCCAAATAATAATTCAAGGAATATACATAAGTTTCATTCTTTGAATTTCATAATTTAGATGATTTTATCTCTCAAAATTGTTACTTTGTTTATCACTTAAGGAATTACTAATACTATAGGTATTTGCAGCTGATGAAAGGTAATTATTATCTCATTAGATTCAATGAGAATTGTTGAAGCAAAATATGGTTATGAAATACTATCTTATAAACTAGATGTCTTGATTAAAAATCATTACTTCATATCATTTTTTATGTTAAATTAGTTGAATGAATCCAAACAAACTATTTAAGCGACCACTTAGAATTTTTAGAATATTGATGAATATAACATGAAAGTTTATTTCCAAATATCATAAGACATGAAATTAATAATGATTTGCATTGAAATCATGATTCATTGTGTTTACATTATATTTCTACTTTATTGAATACAAAGTTATTAATTTATTTCAAGATCTATTATCAGTTCCATTCTATTGGTAACAAAAAAAATTCAAACCCATTTAAAATAATAAGTTTCAGATTTTTACGTTAATGATTAATAATTAAGTGTATTGGTTCTTTTTAAAGGATATCTAGACTTTAAGGGACGTGACATACTACTTTCCAACCATAATTTTTTTAAACTAATTTTACAATTTTAACATTGAGAAATGGTGGAAAATAAGAGAGGTTTTGGCATCAAAATTTCTTATAAATTCAAAATCTCTCCAATAGCTAATTAGTTCATAGTGTTCATCTCCAACCTCTCTCCAATACCATCCTAAGAATCTTTCTACCATGTTTTGCAAATAAGTTAATGCAAATTAGGGCACTCCTTGAAGCATAGTCAAATGATAAGAAGTCAATGAGCTAAGACGTAGGATTCAATGGAAACAAGATCATAATGCACCTAATCAAAGGGCCAATGTCTTTCACATTAAGATAACTTCCTTATATGAATAGGAAAAGGAAAATCAAGCATAATTCAACATCTTTTTGTAAAATATTCAGATGTGCCTCAAGTTAATCCTAACAACTAAAAATGTCCCATAGTGAAATCCGTCCTTATTTTGTATGGAAAAAATTGTGACTAAATTCTGATTTTAACCCCTCATTGGAGCTTGTCCATGTAATGTCACTTAACTGAATGAGTTGGTTTTCTCTTAAATCATTGTTGATGAAATCTAAAAACATTCTTATTAAATGCCAAAGGCATTCTTAGAAAAAGTTAAAAAAAAAAAACCTAATTTACATTCAAGTATGGTGTGTGATAGTCATAACTTTTCAAATATCACACAACAAGAATTATTACCACTAATTTTGGTTGATTTCAATGTATTCATTTAAGGTGAAGTAACAAAGGGCAACCACTATTCATTGAAAGATTCAGGCATAATAAATGAGTTTATAAGTTCTACAAGCTAGTTCCAAGATTTAGAAGTTGAGCCTTCTTAAGTTGCATGGGCTTTCAATGAGCATTCTATCATTGGGTTTTGAATTTTGAGGGAATGCTTTGTCTATGATGTAAAAGCTTTGTAACCCCAATGACAAAATGGTGATTCCTCAAATAGCAATTGGCATTAACATCTCCAAGGAAAAATTAAAATTTAGTTCACTTCTTTCATTTTGAAAAACCATATTTTCCAATGTTATGGTCTAAGAACGAATCACACTAGCTGCATTATGTTGAAACTCTTTCTCTTGCAGCATCTTGGAAGCCATTTTACTTCATACAAAAAAAATCTGGAAATTGCTACTTATAAACAATAGTATCAAAGTTAGTTATATTTATATTATTGAAACATTACACAAATTGGGTATGAGCAATTATGATTCAACCTATAAAGTAGGGTTGGTTGGACAAAGATTATGTAGAAAAAAGAACGGCCGGAATGTCTAACCTCTTGACCAAAATTACATTGATGATACCTTTTGATCTTCGTAAACCTTTTTTTGCTAATCACCAAACAACAGAAATTATAGAATATTGTGTCTATCTTATTTGTGATTTTCATATAGGAACTTTGGTTACATGTAAAAATAGATAACCTAAAATGATAGGAAAGTCAATAAATGTTTGAGCAAGTCAATAAATGCTTAGACATTTTTGTTTTTAACAAGTTTCCCATTGCCTCCCTCCATGAGATCTTCAAATAAAATATATATGATATTAGATATCAAACAATCCACATTTGTGTGCATACCTTTCAAATTGGGAATAATGCATCTTTGCATGATATTAACCTTCTTTTGATAACTAATTTTCTATTTTCATTGAATTCAAGTGAAGTTGACTATAATGTCAACAAGTGACAAAGACTTTTCATTAATATTATATTTTCAATGTAATGCTTCAAGGACTCGTTCTCAACAAAATTATTTTTTATTCGTTAAAATAACATGGTGGGCATTGGGCTCATGAAGACCAAGTGGTTTTTTCACATATTTTTTTTCATTATAGTCGATCAACGAAAGTGCATTCTGCATCCATTTGATTTAGGTTAAATGACTTAATGATAAATAGTGAAAGCATAAACCATATGATTTCAAAACCAAACACTCGTAAGGAAACTCAATAAGCAATTCCTATCCAAAAACACTGCATGAGTGGCATTAGAGACCACCTTATAATGGCTCTATGACGCAGGTTTTCTATTGGAATAGAAGTAATTTAGTTCACTCGCATCATACATCAAGAACATGTCTTATAAACGCAGACAAGTCAACTGACATAATATGTTCATCATTAACAAAACTTTCAAAATCCATCATCAATTAAAAAGGTTGGAATAAAATAAGTCTACCCAGATCTTCGAAACAATCATTTGAGAGAATCAATGCTTGGAAGACACTTTGTCAATTTTCAAATTTTTCCTTCAGAAACTTATTCACTCCTTGCTACTATATTTCTCTTTAGAAATATACACAAGATCGTTGGGGATGGATAAGACCCCCTAAAATGTGGGCTGAATAATTGCATTCATTCATAAGAGAGTGAGACTTGAGTTGCACAACTATATATACCTGAGTAGATATAGGGATAAGCCCACTGTAGACATGCCCATGTCTATCACATCTAACAAGAAAAATGTTATTATTTATTTGACTGAGGTTCAACGCCCCAAACCATTATCAATATTAGGGAAGAAATTGCAGGTTACATAACAGATTTATAAGGGAAGCAACCAAAAAGAGGAGATTTACTAGTTAATTTGAGGCATTAGATTTGAATCTTCTAGTACCAAAGGATGCACAGCTAGTGAGGGTACAGAAATAATCCCCGGAGGCATTATCGACATATTCCAAAGATCATATTGGTCTCCTCGAAATTCAGAATGGAAACAACGAAAAAACTCGCGGATACTAAAATGATAGAAGAACCAAAGAATTGAAAAAATTCAAGGTTTACAGCTTCCTTGGGGAATTAAATGGGCTGATTGGGAATATGCCATTGGCGCACCAAATCTTCACCTGCAACCAAATACGGAGAGAATGTAAATCCATGAATGCTATTTAAGAGAAAATGTAAGCAATAAATGAGGAATAAATTGAGCTTGCATGAGGAAATAATGTCCAGAGCAATAGTACATTCAACAGAAAGGAAAGTAATATTCCCGGATTCATTGCACATATAGGGAGAGTAATACTCGAATCCAAATTATCATGCAGAGCTACAAAGTCACTGTTTGTGATGGTAGATAGACAGACATGCACCTTTCACTATAACTGCATGAAATCAGATGCCCAAGAAACCTATGGCAATTTTTTTGGAGTCTACAGACCTCAAGGTCAAGATCGATCACAGGGCTTGGAATCTGACACGTGAACAAGAAATAGATCTAACATGAAGAAAAAAGGAAAAATTACAGACACACGAATGGCGCCGAATACCATACAGAAAAAGTGATTCACGCCAATAGCCAATTGGGAAGATGGTCACGTAGAATCCCCTGGTTTTCATTTATGTTCAGAATTCGAGGCAAGGAGGGAAATGATCTGAAAAAAGAAAATCAATAGGGAACAAGTTGCCATAAAGAGTTCAAAAATTCCAAGGTATGAACAAATTAGCAGATAAGCTCGAAAGAAATGCTCTACCAGGGTTCAAGACCTAGCGATCGCAGACTCTGAAGAGGAAAATCAGGAAAGCGAGGATAAATCTCAACCTACGAAAGAGAACGCTCCAATGCACATCAGAAACGACATCAAGAAGACGGGAAAAGAGAAGCAGCCATCCGTGCGCATTGTCCCTCCCTCTCCTCGGACGACCCTCCTTCTCTGGCACTGGTTCTTGCACGCACCGGATCAGAGCCACCGAACGATGCATCAAGCATCCATCACGCCCCAGGCGGAGGCTCGCGGAGCGGACGGTCTCCCTCGGGGACTTCTTTCTTCACGATCCCGCCTCCTGGCTGCTCTACCGGCCGCGTCTCCTCCGGCACCGGCTGCAAAGCCGACGGACTCTCCTGTCGCACCGGCTGCTCCACCACAGGCACAGCCCGCCGCGACGCAGGCTCAGCCGGTGTAGCCTCCCGCTGCGAAGACTCCTCCTCCTGCGGGCCACAACTCCGCTTCCGCTCGTTCCCGGGAACCTCCTCCGTGTAGACGGTGAACCTCCCCTTCTGCTCCACTTTCCACTCCGGCGACCGGTCGCGCTTCATCCTCCTCCCTCCGCCCGTCAAAACCACCCCGAGCGCGGGAAAACGAGCCCTGCCGCAGCCACCACCTTGGGGTGTGGGCCTTTCCGTCTCTTCACAATGGCAGCTTATAAAGGTCCGGTGTGGCGCTGTAGGGCCTCTGCTCCAGCCAGCTGGACCCCACTTCCTTCTTCAAACCCCTCTGGTTCATCTCCTTCCTCAGGAGCTCGATCTCCCCCCACATCCCCTGCCTGGCGTAGAGGTTGCAGAGCTCGACGTATACCCCCACGTTGCCGGGGTCCTCCTCCAGGGCCCTCCGGGCGGCTCTCTTCCCCATCTCCACATCCCCGAGCTCGCTGCAGGCGGCGAGCAGAGCCCCCCAGACCCGGACGCCGCCGGCGGTGCCGCCACCCTCCGCCAGCTCCCAAGCTTTCTTCGTCTCCCCGGCCATGCAGAGGAGGTGGACCACGCAGCCGTAGTGCTCCGGCCATGGAGATATCCGATGATCCTCTGTCATGGACTGGAAGTAGGCCAGGCCTCCGGCGAGGTCCGCCGTGCGGCTGCAGGCCGAGAGGACCGCCACGAAGGCCACCCCGTCCGGCGGCGTTCCCTCCGCCAGCATCTCGTCGAAGGTCCTGGCGACGTCGGGGAACTGCCCGTTCCTGCTGTGGGCGTTGAGCATGGAGGTCCACAGCACCACGTCCCTCGCGCCCCGTTCCGCTTCGGCGACTCGGCCGCCGGCCGTCTCGAACACCCGCCGGGCTTCCCCCACGCGCCCGCAGTTGCCGTACATCTCCACCAGCAAGCTGAGGAGGAGGGCATCTTCTTCGATGGGCTGTCCCCGGCGGAGCAGATGCGCGTGGACCTGCTTTCCTAGTCCGGCGGCCGGCATCTCCGCGAACATCCTCAGCGCCGCCGAAAGCGTGAAGTCGTCAGGCGGCGGGCCCGCCGCCAGCATCTCTCGCACCAAGGCCAGACTCTCCGGCCAGAGCTTCGCATTGACATAGCCCATCAGAAGGGTGTTGGCGCAGGTGGCGTTCTTCAGGGGGATTTCGTCGAACATTTTGCGCGCGTCACCCATGCCGCCGAGCTTAACGTAGAGGTTCACCAGGGCGCCGCCGACGAAGACCGCCGAGGCCCAGCCAGACTTGACAGTGTACGCATGGGCCTGCATCCCCAGCGCTGCCGCCTCCTCGGCGGCGGCGACCGCGGCCGCGATGGCGCTGCAGAGAGCGTAGCTGCAGAGAGGAAGGCCCAGCCCGTGCATGACAGAGAAAGCCCGCGCGGCGAGAGATGGGAGCCCTCGTCGCACCAAAGAGGAGACGGCGGCATTCCACTGAAAGCAACCGGCAGCGGCATCTGGGGGAGCGCCGCCGAGGAGGCGGTGCAAGGAGAGCAAGTTCCGTCGGCCGGAAGCGACGGCGTAGCACAAGAAGAGCCTCGCGTGGAAGCGGGCAAGGAGGCCCGCCTTCAGCAGGCGGGCGTGGAGGGGGGCGGCGGCTCTGGGGTTGCCGGATTGCAGGGCTTGGTCCAAGAGGAGGGAGAGATGGGGGAGGAGCTCCCTCTCGTAGGGTACGTACATCCGGGGAACCTCGGAGGTAGAAAGGGGAGGAATATCAGACGATTGACAGTGGAATCGGCTAGTTAATCTTTGAAGAGTCTTTAAAAAATACCAGGAAGAGAGGGAGAGAGAGAGCATGGTGGGATGTGTGTGTGAGAGAGAGAGCCCTTTCGAGAGTAAGTCCGACGTATGCGAGAACTCCCAACCGAGAACCCATTCCAAAACAAGAAGGATCAGAGATATTCAGAGAGAGATGGGAAGGACCCATTCCAGAACGAGAAAGACTAGACAGGAAGACCTACAGAGAGAGAGAGAGAGAGAGAGGGCGGCGGCGGGGGAGGGGGGGGGGAGAGAGAATCCATTCCGCATTAAGAAGAGGTCCAGAGTACACGAACCTTGGTCAACATACATAGAATTACAGGCGCATGCAGGCCCCATTCACGGCCACCAAACAACACCACACCACAGCACCACCGCAAAGCACCACCCTCGTCTGTCGGACTAAATTATGCACAGCTGTTGCTGCCGCCGCTGCCGCCGCCACCACTACCACCACCACAATTGCAAATCACAGCAGTTCTTCACTCACAGGCCAGCTTTGTGTCGAAGCTGCTCAGGCATATCCCAAATGCTTGAAATGCTGAAAGCGGGTACCGGTAGTCCATTGTGAACAGGTCCTTCCCAATCTTCCCAAACTGCAGTATGATCTTGTCGTGGTCGCCCGCCTCCCCACCGCCGGCTGGCTCAGTGGCGGCAGAGATCAACTGAAAGTTCTTCACCGAGGCGACAGTCACCCGCCCGCGGAAGTTGAGGCACCAGCACTGCAGCTGCTCGTGCCAACGCGGGGCCTTGTTGCGCAGCACCAGAGGCCCCTCCTTCCCCACAACATCGACCGACACCTCCGAGAACCGTGAGCTCTCCATGAATCTCGCACTGTCGCCAAACCTCCAGGAGGCCCCTAACTTGCTGTCAGCTGGGCGGGGCAGTGACAGGCGGGAGAAGGAGTCTTCCAGTGAGGAGGCCGCGCCGGCAGTTGTGGCGGCGGAAGTGGTGCTTGTGGTGATGGGGTCCAGGGCGGCGGCAGGTATCGAGTGCATTGTGCAACGCATACGGCGGGGGCCTCGCGTGCCGAGCATGTTCAGTTCGTAGGAGATGTGGGCAATGCCAAAGCTCCCGGATGGCACCTTTGGGGAGACCTTCCGGCTGTGGAACCGGCGGCTGGAGCGGCCAGAGGAGGTTACGGCGCCGCCATGGGGGGGCTGGCTGTCGTAGATGGCGAATTTAGTCCCCAGAAAGTTGGATCTGGAGGGACGCAAACACCCAGAGAATAAGCTTGGTCATAAGAGCTGTCCAAAAGATAAGCCTGTTGAGGCCTCAATGATTACCTCAACTTCCCAACATAGCTCACACTGCTGCGGGAGATGTCATGAGTGGCCATCGATATGATGTATTCTGCATGGGTTGGGCGCCGGATCTTCCGAGCAGTGAGGAGGAACTTTCCACTCTCTACAGACAATGAATAGAAGAGGGCACTCATCATCAAATGGGCAACCAACTTAACGCGGTGGGGAACATTAGATCTGTAGGGAGAAGAAAGGAGAGCGAGGGAGAGAGAAAGAAGCCACTAGACCATGACTGTTCTATGACAACAGACAAAAATTTCTCATTCAATTTCACTAGAGATTAGACTGCCATTCCACTTTATTTCAACTCGATGATTGTGCGTCAAATTAGCAGTGATGTTTACTATGAGAGACAGTCAGAAAAACTTCGGATATCAGGTGAAATCATGAATAAATATCGTCCTCATCTTGTTCTGAAACACTAGTGTCCAGTCAAATTATAAGATAAATGGCTTTTATATGAATTATTCATTAAAATTTAGATGACGTTGCAGGAAAATAATCTCAAAATATTCGCTGAAAGAAAGTACCACCACACTCTCCTGATCTGACATCTTGTTTTGATCTAGAAAGTTTCCATGGAGCATTCACGCTCTAAGATGTAGAGATTTGATCCATGGAGATGAGCAAATTTCATAGGCAAAAATAAACGTGCATCAGATTGGGGAACCCACTGGAAGAGGTGACAGCTGAAAGCAGAAATCATGCCAACCTCACATCCTCCTCTTGTTTCTTAAAAATACACAGGAATTTTACAGATGAAGGGAGGGCTTGTGGGGGCTAGTGTAGCTCTTAAGGAACCTTTACTACAGTTTATGCTTTGCAAGATGAACCTTGAGGCTCAAACAGGCCAGATATGAGTTTGCAATAGTCTGAGTGGGCAATCGAACGGACCACATCGGAGATAAATCAAGCCAGATTGGATATCAAATTTAGGAATATTGGATGTTTAATTCTTCATGCACGCAGAAACAAGTCACAGATCCGCATATGATTCTTCTCTGTGTAAGGTGCATTCCATCCACAGAAAAAAAAACAAATTAATGGGGAGAACAAGATTATAGTTATCATTTATTATAGTAATAACTAATGAAGAAGGAAGCATGTCACCCCATTTAGACAGATGTCGCGTTAAAGATGGAAGAAGACAATATTCATGAGAACCTGTGATGCCTTTCTTTATAATTAAGGGAATGTGTAAGTATTCACCTGGTTGAAGTCCCAAGAAAAGCTGGTAAGTTGATGTTGATTTGTTCCTCTTTATGTAGCATTGGATTGTTGCATTGCGAAATCCAGGCTTCAAAGTAAACATAATTTTGAGAGTAATATCAGTCACAACATTTAAATGGGTAGACTGCAACTCCCCCCAGCTTGAACAAATAGGAAGTCAAGAGAAATGGGACATGCGACAGGAAATGGGAAGTCTAGAAAAATCAGCTCAAGAGAGGAATAAAAAATCATCAGTACGGTGAAAGAGAAGACAAGTCTTCCAAATACACAGCCAGAGTAATAAATTAGAGAAGATCATAAATTAAACCCCACTTAGAAGACAAGTCTTCTAAGTGGGGTTTAAATTTTACCTATCTACCCAAGGAGCCATAGGGAGGGCTCTCAAGAAGACGCATGAATCAATTATACTAATGGAGAAATTTTCCCTGGAATAAACCCCATGAAATCATCAATTGAAAAGGCTTGAATGTTTTGAGTGTCTGGATGCAAAACACATTGTGCGCAAAGAATTATCGCCATCTAAAGGAGAGTCAAATAGACGGATGATAAGGTCTACTTCAATTTTAAATATAGTTCAAAGACCCTAAATGAAAGAACAGCCCAAGAGAGGAATGGGCCTGACCAAGATTTGAATGTTTGATGACTACGGCAGCGTCTCCACAGAAATAGCTACAGAGACTAGAAGCTCACATCCTATTCCAAGCCACTAGCATTAAGGCGACAAGAACACTGAGATCACTTCTCTCAATATAAATCCGCTTAGAGAAAAATGGCTACTGAGACGCTTTGTTTGAAAAGTCGGACCAGCTCTTTGAAAAAAATTTAAATCTAGCGACATGAATGGCTGTAACAAATACTTCTTGACAAATAAACCCTTAATCTAGCTTGTATTAACCATAACTTCGACACCCACAGCAAAAGGACATTGGCTGGGATTGAAGATTCCAGGTTATATTCAATGTTAAACCGCTGCCATACCGATATTGGGGGGACGAGAGCAATGACTCTAGGCTAAAAAGGAGGAGGGGAGGATGTTGTCGCTCGAGTACCAGCAGATAGAATAAATTCGAGCTCTTAAAAAAGGTGCATTAGCAGATATGACCTGAGATCTCGATCACAAGAATCGTCCTCCGAACTCACCTGCTTGAGCGAAACAGGGAAGGTCAGTTTACCGCTGACCTCCGGCAAGCCGACGATCTCCCTGCATATACGCCTCCAGGAGCGGCAAACTGAGCCGAAGGCCACCAGGTTCCGCCGCGATGGCCACGTCGCCTCGCTTTCCTCCAGCCGAACAACCACCTCCCTCAGCAGCTCCGGCGGCAGCCCCGACCAGCTCCCCTGCTCCCCCGCCTCCACCCCCAGATCAACAAATGAGGCCGAGGACGAGGCCGACCTGGCCCCCTCTCTCTCCTTCCTCCGCTGATGGGAGAATCCCCTCCTGGAGATGCTCCCGATCCCATCCCGCACGATCTCCCTCAAGTTCATCCCTCCCCAGCTCAGCCTCGACGAGCAACGTCCATATACTCAAACTACCCCCTCCGTCTCTACGGTCCTTGCAAAGATTGCTAGGGTTTTGAGCTCTGCTCCTCCTCCTCGGCCCTCTCTCTCTCTCTCCTCCGCTTCTCTTGCTTTCTCCTTCGGCGTTAGTGCGAACTGACCCTTTCCCCTTTGTGCGAGGCGAAATGATGACTCCAGCAAAAGATTCGACGGAGAGTCTTGCGCGCCGACTAATCCTCTCCTCCCATCACACCGTCCAATCCGTGGAGTCCACTCTTCCCGTGGACCCCCGCCGTTGATTTCAGACCGGTGGGCGGGATAAACGCGCCTCCTGTGGGGACCACACTCCGAGGACCCCACCACTCTAGGAGCCACTTCTCGTGTCGTCTCTCCTCTCTCCGACTTTTCGCGAGCGTGGACAGACAAGTCACGTGGCAGCCCCGGCTCATTTTCGTGCGCAACCAGCCGGCTGACCTCCACGACGGCGTCACCGGCCTGCTTGCTCTTATTTAATTTAACTATTTCTGGAAATCTCCCGCAAATAAATAAAAATTCATTCACCCTATTTTTCTCTCTCTAATGGTTCCCACCCGGGGAGGCGGAGCGCTGCTGAGTCGCGAGGCCACGTGGATCTCAGGCGTTCAGGTACAGCCCAGCTGAGAAGCTTATCCGACGTGGAAATCATAGTAAGAGATCTATTGGACGAGAGTATAAAAATTCTGTCAATTAAAATATGAAATTAAAGTCCCTTTAATATTTTCATAATTAATGTTCCTACTAAGTAAAAAAATTGCAAAATGTGAAAAAAAATAATGGGATTTTTTTTATGTCCAAATTTTTTCTTCTAATATTACATGGTATTTTGATGTGTTCTTTAAAAAAAATGCAGCTTTGAGAAAAAAGTAGAAAAGGAGTAATTTGTATAAACATTTCAATTTTTTGATAATTTTTTCACATCAATATATCCATATTATAGGTGATATATTTGTATCTATGAAGAGGAAGAGAGTGTGTGTGATGTAGGATATATAGAGAGAGAGCATGATCTATTTAGCTATCTATTTAGAGAGAGAGAGAGACTATGTCATAAAGTAAGATATAGAAATAGAAAGCATGATCTATTTAGCTAGATATATATATATATATATATATATATATATATATATATATATATATAGAGAGAGAGAGAGAGAGAGAGAGAGAGAGAGAAAGAGAGTTAGAGAAGGTCAGACATAAGGCTTTTGACAAAGAACTTTGCTAGTAATTGAAGTTTACTGATCACTAAAAAGTGACCTAGCAACAATTGTGAGAAATAGAAAACAAACTCTCTCTCTCTCTCTCTCTCTCTCCAACTCTCTTACTAAAGCAAACAAACACATTGATTAATTGATCACCTTGAGAAAGTCAATGGAAGATCAATCAGTCAACCAAGGAAATAGAAAGAATCAACTACAAAGCATCTATTTTCAGTGAAAGAAACTATGAGGCTCTCACCACAAATCTATTGTCACATAGACAACAATCCCACTAGAGAGGTGCTGCTCAAAGTAAAGACTCAAGGTGTGCATGGGACAGCAAACTAACAATGGTCTAAAAGTAGAAAATGACATGAACAGTCCAATGTTGTTGGACAGTGATGGCCAAGTTCTGAAACAATCAAACTATTAAAATCAGATATGGAGCAGTTGAACCATTAAGATTAGATATGGGGCAATCATGTCTCCTAGAGGGACTCAACAGATTTAGTAGAAGTGTCAACCGAACGCTCTACAAAACTAATCTATAGGATCAAAACCACGAGTAGAAAGGGCGAGTGTTTTTTTTGGAGTCTTTGAGGAGCCTAAAGATTAGCTATCTTGAACTAGACTTCCACTTCCCCTTGATCTAGAAGAGCTATGTTGGGACTCTTCCTCTTTTGTTCCCCTTGTCTCACTCTCTTACTCTCTCACTCTCTATTTTGTGTAACCTTGTCTAGTTGTAATCAAGCTTGAGCTCTAGTAAATAGATTGTTCACAATCAAGTTTTAGCCAACTTCCCCATATCTTATTACCCTTGACCAAAAGTACTTATCAACTTGGTATTAGAGCCCTTATAGTCCTCAAGGCCCCCAAGCCCAATGAGTCCAAAGTGGAACACCTCAAACAAGAAATCAAAGGATTCAAGTTTCAGGTTGTCTTTGATCAAGCTGAGCAATGATAGCTGCTGGGTACCATGACCCAAGCAATCAAGGGGCTTCACTAGAAAATGGAACTCATATTGTAAACTAGTAAGGAGAAGATTGAGCCCAACTCGTCAATGGATTAGGCACCCAACGAATTGAGTCAAGGATGAATCAACCTTAACTAGGGTGATAGAAGAGATCAGGAGGATTTCTCATGACTCCTCAATTATCATCTACAAGGCTCATGAATGAGAGTTAATTCCCAAATATTGTCACGAGATCAGTGGCAATAGAGGCAATTAGAACTTATGATGTTAATGGAGGATGACCTTGAGAGCTAGATATTCAAAGGCTAAAATGTATTTTTCTACTTACAAACTAATAGGGCTTAAGAGATTATCCATCGCTAGCCTCAGTTTGGAGGTGGGCTCTTTTCTAGTTCAAATGGGCTGATGACAAATGCCCATGCTGCAACTAGGAGGATTTGAAGGTTCACCTTCTGAATCGCTTCAACCTTAAACCCACCATTACCCTCTGTCAAGAGTTCCTGGAGATCACACAACAAGGAACAATGGGGGAATACACAGAAGAAATTGAGTTATATTCAAGGTTAATTAGAAACATTATTAAACCAATCTTCAAAAGTATGTACCTAAAAAGGTTGTAGAAAGATATTCAAACATAAGTGGGCATGTTTAATCCTTCATGCCTAGAGGTCATCATGAGGACTACACAATGAGTGGACATGAAAATTTACACTTTGGTAGAAATAGGTATAATGCCTTGAAATCATACCTTGCAACTAAGAGATTTAAGTATAGAAGTGAGGTGATAGAGAGCTTCGGAGTTGGAAATCCTTCACTGAGGAAATGGTGGTGTATCACAAGTAATCGCTTTATGCTATACCTATGAAGTTGAGAACAAGGGGCTCTAGAAAAACAAAAATAGATTAATCTTACTATAGTTAAGATCCAGTCACGACAAGCATAAGGCCTCTACTTTCACTACAACGATAAATTTTCATTGAGACATGTGTAAAAGAAAACTATTGATCCTCTTTTCTTCAAATGAATCTTATTTCCTTGTAGAGAAATTAGTAGTTCAAGAGATTGAAAGCTGCGAACGTATTAGCTTAGAGGACTTGAGCAACCTCAAGGTTGCAATCCAGATACTTGAATAACTATCTATCAGTGCATTGAAATTCAAGGGCAAAATTCGATTGAAGTTGGTCTCCAACTTGGTCAATAGTGGAGAAGCACATAATTTTAACAATTGTAGGTTAGTAGCTTCCAGTTTTTACTATTGCAACCTATCAGGTGACTACGAGAGCTGGCAAGAAGGTAGTTGGATCAAGAATTTGGTGAGGAGTTCCCATTAGTCTTGTTGCTCGCCATCATGGATATTATCCTTGGGATCAAATGGATGAAGACCTGGAAAAAAATTGAGCTAGACTTTGAATGTTTGACGATGACTTTTAAAATATGAGCAAGAACGGCCACTCTTCATGTCGATCGATCAAAGGGAGGTAATGACTGCTCATACATTCAAATCACGTGCCATCGGAATCAATTAGGGTAATTTTCTCTACAAGTTGTACTAGGTCATGGGATTGGAACTAGATGACACCCCTCCATCTAGGAGTTGAAGATTGAGAATTTGTTTTCAAAACCTTTCGTAGACTTTCAATGTCTACCTCCACAACATGACGCTGACCATTAAATCATCCTAGCTATGAGAGCACAATTAGTCAACTTCATACTATTTCATTACTCACATTATTAGAAGATCGAGATTGAAAGGTAGACTAGGAAAATACTATAGGCGGGGGTGATTCAACATTCTCGAAGTGCTTTTTTTAATCCAGCCCTAATCGTATGAAAGAAGGATGGATCATGGAGGTTCTGTGTTGACTACATAGCTCTCAAGAAAATCACGATCCCTAATCAATTTTCTATTCCAATTGTTAAGGAACTCTTGAACGAGCTCCATGGATCTCAAATTCAGGTTAGCCCAGCCCCAAAGACATCCCCAATATGGCATTCCAAATGCACAAAGACCACTTCGAATTTTGTGTGATGCTGTTTGGCCTCTCCAACACCCTCACCACCTTCCAATCCCTCATCAACATGTTATTTGGAGCATTTCTCTAAAGGTTCATTCTAATTTTCTTTGATGATCTATTAATCTATAATAAATAGAGACGGAACACAAGGAACACCTAGTCAAGGTGTTCATTGTCCTTAACGAGCACAAACTTCACGTCAACCTGCATTAGTGCTCCTTTGGCTTATCTAGAATCTTTTACTTAGAACATTCGGTATCGAAAGTTGATACCAATCCCACCAGTGGAGTAATCCCCTCCTCGTCCTCCTCCTCTGTGCCCTTGATTGTTCTGACGCCATGGCTCAATTCTGATAGGTACCTTGGGTCTAGTGTAATAAGACAGGGAAGTTGGCAAAAGGTTGACTGCGAACAATCTGTTTGACTAGAGCTCAAGCTCAGTTACAACCAGATGGGGTCACACCAAAAGAGAGTTAGAGAGTAAGAGAGCAAGAGAGTGAGATAGGGGGAACAAAAGAGGAAGAGTCCTCTTTCAGATCAAAGGGAAGGAGAAGGCTAGTTTGAGATAGCTGATCTCTATGCTCCTTAGAGATTCCACAAAAGACCTCTCCCTCCCCTTCTACCCGTGGTTCTGATCTTCTAGATTAGCTTTGTCGACTATTGGGTCAACACTAATGTTGAATCCTTTGAGTCCTTTTGGGAGACCTGACTACCCTATATCTGATCTTAATAGTTCAATTGCTCCATATCTAATCTTAACGGCTTGACCATTTCAGAAGCTGGCTGTCACGATCTAATCACGTTGGACCATCCGCATCATTTTCTACTACTAGGCCATTGTCAGTATGTTGTCCCATGCGCACCTCCATGTCTTTACTTTGAGCACCACCTCTCTGACAGGATCATTGTCCTGTGGCAATGGATTTGTGGCAAGAGCCTTAACAATCCTCTCCCTTAGGAGATTCACCGTGTCCTCAAGGGGAAATTTCAAAAATTGATAGTGAATGATGTGAGTGGATTTCCACGTGGTTTCGTTGCAGGAATGTTATTTCACTCGATTTGGACTTCCAGTCTAGACGGATTGTGTCAAATAGCCTGAATGGTCATTGGCTCGATGGTCCATGTTAGCTCCTCGTCTAGGTGGAGGTGTGAGACGTGGAAAATTGGGTGAAGGTTGACAAAGTTAGTAACTCCAGCTTGTAGGTCCCAACCCAATCTGTTTTAGGATATTGAATGGGCTGAAAAATTGAGGGGCCAGCTTCTCATAGGGCCGATGTGTGAGGGACTGTTGGCAGTAGGGATGGAGTTAGAGGAAGACGGAGTATCCCAACTAGAATTCTATGTCTTTGTGCTATTGGTCAGCTTGTGTCTTCATATGGGCTTTGGCCCGAGTCAAATGATGCTTGAGTTGGTCGAGTGTTTGGTCTCATTCCTGTAGGAGTTAGTGAACACTATGTTTTTCTTGAAAGAAAGTTATACTAAAGGAGGACAAGAGGCTTACGTCCATAGATGACTCGGAACAGGAAAAATCCTATTGATACATTGTACTTGGAGTTGAACTAGTACTTGGTCCACAATATTCAGCTGCTCTATTATTTTGGATGATCCCTTGTGAAACAACAAAGAAAAGTCTCAAGGCTCCAATTGATGACCTCTGATTGCCCATCTATTTAGAAATGGTAGGAGCTTGTTTACTGGAATGTGGTCTCGTGAAGTTTGAAGAGTTATTATCATAAGAGGGTCATAATCTAGTTTCTGTCGGTGAGGATCAACTCTAGAAACCCAAGGAGGTGCATTATGTTTGGGATGAAGATCAATACAATATCTCTCATGGTGAAGAGATATCATAGAGCCAAGAAATGAGTGTATTTACTTAGGCGATCCATGATAATGAGAATTGTAATGTACTCGTTGGAGACTAGCAACCCTTCAATGATATCCATGAAAATGCATTTCAAAATTTGATCTAGGATTGGTAGTGGTTGTAGGAGACCTTTGAGCACCAAGCATTCGGTCTTATTCCTCTAACATACCTAGTAGGTTGCCACGAACCATCGGATGTGATTCTTCATGCCTCTCCAATAAATATTTTACAATAGTTGGAGATAAGTAGAGAAGAATGAAACTCCTAAAAGAGCTTAGGAATGAAGGTTGATGATTCAGAGATGATCAATTACCCTTTATTGAAAAGAACTCCCTACTATTGTGTATATTGGAGAAATTCGTCTGGCTGTAGGGCCACCTTCTCGTAGAGACAAGCTATCATCGCCATTGTTTTCCTTTGTGATCTGTTGTAGGTCGACGAGCTCCAGCTGAAATAGCTCAGTAGCTTGTAGAAAAACGTAGTCCATTACTCAAGATAGAGTACCAATAGCTTTATTTTCAGCTTTAGCTTTTAACCAAATCTTGAGGTCAAACATAATGATTTTCGAGAGCCACCATTGATAATCAGGGTGAATCTGTCACTGTTTTATCAAGAATTTTCAGCTTCTCTAGTCTATATATATGATGAATCACCTACCTAACAAATAATACTTAAATTTAAATATGGCAAGGACGATTGCAAGCAGCTCCTTTTCATAGACACTATCCAGTTTCTCAACAGTTGACAAGGTCTTGCTGAAGTATGCAGTGAACCTCCTTTTCTACTTCAAGACCCATCCCGACTCCTCAATTGGAGGCGTCGGCTTGGAGCTTAAAGTTCTTAGAGAAATTCTAAAGGACTAATACATGTGTCATTGCCAGAGCCACCTTGAGAGCTTGGAAGGCGGTTTCTACATCTTCCCCCCCACTTGAAAACATCTCGCTTTAGTTGTTGGGTGAGAGCCCATGTTGTTGTTCTGTAGCTAGTGATGAACCCACGGTAATAACTTGCCAATCTAAAGAATCCTCAAAGTTTTTTAAGGCTGATAGGCATTGTCTATCCCACAACCACCTCTACTTTCTCCTTATCTAGGAAGTTCTTGACGTAGGCCTCCGCCAACATGCGCCCGAGGGTGACCTGGGCGGCGGTGGCGAGATGTATCTGGTCGTCGTTGAGCGGCAGGCCCCTGGCATCCACACAGACGACGCCGGGCAGGTGCATCCCTAGCTGAGCCCGCCTCACCTTCTCCATCCCGGGTCCCTCTCCGGAGGTGATCGCCACCTGCGCATTTCGTCAAACATCTGGTAGTCAACTTACAGTGACAAACGAGAGGGATCGAAAATGGAAGGGTGGGTGCGCTTGCCTGAATGACGGGCAGCGACGGGAGGTCAAGATCTGCGCGGAGGTCGCAGATGAGCTTCTCCATGTTGGGGCCGTAGGCGGCGGCGGAGTGGTCGGTGGCGGCGTCGCTCTCGCCCTGGTACCAGAGGACGGCGCGCAGCTCTCCGCCGCCCCGCACGGCTTCCCTGGCCCTCCTCACCATCTGCTGGTACAGCCTCGTTCCCCTCTCCCATTCCTTTATGGCCGTGCCGCCCACGGCGCACGGCACCAGACCCGCCGCCGCCTCCCCGCCATCGGAGGGGAGTAGGTGGGGGATGACGGCGTCGGCGAACGGCATGCCGGGGCCGATACCGCAGGTCTTGGCGGTGTCTATGTCGGCGTGGAGCGGCTCGCGGGCCTCCACCCAGCGGGAGCGGGCGGAGAAGCGGAGGATGCCCGGCCGCGGGCGGCACTCCGGCGGGACGACTCCGTCCCATCGCCTTTGCCGGACGCCGCCCCGGCCGGACATGTTGCTCTGGCCGGCGAGCACGAAGACGTCCCGGGGGACGCTTCCATGGGGACTCTCCTCCGGCCGGTCCTCCTTATCCTCCGCTTCCATGGCGGCAGCGGCACGACGAAGGAAACCAGATCCGAATGGGCGGATAGATGGCGCATGAGGACAGCAAAGCACCGACGGCGGAGAATTTAAGCAAACAGACTACTGTAGTGTTTCCGTCTCATTTGGTTTCGGCAAGACGTTGACTTGCTATAAATCAATACGAAGTCCGATTGCTCCTATTTATTGATGTCTAAATATTGCGGTTCCTCACGTCATCTGAATTACTGAAAATCTACTCTATTTTTAACTTGACGTCCTTTCAAGAACCCATCAGGTTATTATTACTATTGAATACAGAGCTCATTAAAATATATTATTATGGTTCACCTAACTTGTTTGGAATAACTTGGTTAAAATATATTATATTATATTTACAAGAAAGTATAAGTTAATATATGAGTGTCGAGTATAATGGAATATAAATTCAGAAATAATTGAAAGAAATAATAAAAAATATCTCAATAAGAATTCAAAGAACTCATATCAATCTCAAAATATTGAAGTCTATAATTTGGTAGATTTTTAGTATTTGAGATTATTACTTTAATTACTAGTGTAGAAACTATTAATATTTGCAGAAATTGTCAATGTAGAAAAGTAATGATTAGCCCTGTAAGATCAATGAGAATTCATTTGGTAAAAGAGGGGTATGAAAGTTAACTTAGTATTATGAATACTTATATTTATAAATCATTGTTTTTTATATTCTTGATACATAATTAATTGATTAATTCAAACTACTCATACTTCTACTTAGGATATCCTAAACTTTAATGAAAACCATTTAGAAAATAATTTAAAATATTACATATTATTGAAGTTATTATTTTATATATTGAGATTGTGAGTTGCAATGTGTCTACTTGACAATCATAATTTATTTGAAGCAATGTGGATAAGTTTTGATTGACAAATTTACTTTATGTCTAGATATATATTATCGATTTTGGTTTCATGATAACAAATATTTACCAAACTTGTTCAAATCAATAAGCTTTATAGATATAATGTTGCATAATAATAAGTTTAATTTATCATAGAGAATATTTGAATCATTAAATGTTATGTTGCATTGTTTCTCACTTGTTGATTATCTAACTAATTTTAGGATTTAAACAGTGAGAAAGCAAAAAATAGGAAAAGTTTTTGAATTTGATTTCTCTAACAATTCAATACCCTCCTAATGGATAATTTGTTTCTAATAATCTCATCTAGATATTCTTGTTAATATTTGTTGTCAAAAATTCTTGACGAATTTAAGATGTTTTCCTTGTTGGTCAAATGACAAAAAAGTAAAAAGCTGTGGAATCAAATTCAAGCTTCATGTGATCTTTCTCAACTAGACCAAAGAACCAATCCCTTTTACATTCAATCAAGCTCCATATAAAAGAACACCAAGTTTTCATCATTATCCTCTTTATTGAGTTTCTAGGCAAACTCTAAGTTAATACCTTCATTTGGAATAACTTGCAATGAAATCCTTCATAATCTTTGTGAAAAATTATTTATAATCACTATAATTAATTATTAAGCCCTTGGAGCTATGAATCTAAAAGAAAATTTTAGGTTAAATTTTACTAGAGCCAAATATGGTAATAGATGATTGTGCTGTGAAAAATTATCTAGTGAAACACAAAAATGATATTACTTTTAGAGAGTGAACTAAGGTATGGGCCAAATGACCTAAAAAATCTTAGAGTGCTTTGGATTTAAAACTCAAAAACTTTATAATTAAGTTCAAAAAAAGAAGATCAGAAATACTAGAAATAATTGGTAAAGTCAAGGATTATAATTGGATCAATTTAACTCCCTCCTTCTTGATCTAATTTTTGGTCTAAAATCTAACAAGTGGTATCAATGAATCACCTTTACTCAATAAATTCAATTATGCACTTTGGAAGAATAAGATAGAGATATTTGTCTAAGTCATTGATTATCAATGATGGGAGCTTATCATAGATAGGTCATTAGAAATTATGGATGTATATGTAAAGTAATGTAGGAAGATCTTATCACTAAATTCCAAAGCTAGGAATGCCTTAGTGGATCAGATCTCAAAGAATTCAATAGATTTTTTTACTTGTGAATAGAAATTTGGGATAAATTCCATGTGATTTACAAAGGAACCACACAAGTTTAGTCAAGTTTATCAACTGGTTCATAAGTAGGAGTTATTTACAATGGATGAGAATGAGATCATCTCTAAGTTGTTTCATAGATTTACAAGTATTATTAATAGTTGGAAACATGTAGGAAGAAATTATTCCATAGTTGGCATTAATATTAAGATTTTGATATCTTTATCCTCTTGGAGACCCAAAGTTACTATCATAGAGGAAGTCAAGGACCCTATCAAATTATAATTAGATAATGTATTAGGATCCCTATTGACATATGAGATAGATTTAGGAAACAATGAAATAAACATAGGAAAACCTATTAGGAAAACTAACACTTTAAAGTTTGTTGAAATGGTAGATGGAAATGAGACTTCAAGAGAAGGAGATGATGGATAGGATAACTATGCTGAGTAGGAGGTTAAGAAAAATATTTAATGAGCAAGGGAATGGAAATTTTTGAAAAAAGTCCCAAGTTGTGAATTATATAAGTAAAGAAAGAAAATTTGAAAACTCACTGCTGAAATGTAATGAAAAATCACATAAATTGGATTATTTGATAGAAATCCAACATAAGCATATAAACAAAGAGCATATAAGATATTTTAGATGAATAGAGAAGGAGAAGAAACTAGAAAACCAAAAATATATATACTCATATTCCATTGTGCAAAATTAATCAAAATGGAATAATATATTATAAACACATCAAGATTTACATTAAGAGGACAAAAAAATTTTAGAAATATCTAGGTAATTTACCAAAACGAAAAATTCGTAGATAAAATATTAGGACCTAAATTAGTTAAAGTTGTGTTTAAAAAGACTATTAGAGTTTATTAAAAATATAAATCTAGATTATATCTAGATGTATATCTTGATAATTATTTATTTGTATATAATAAGTAAGGTGACATTGAGGTAATTTTCACGAAAAATGATATAAAATACGAATTATTAAATTTAAAATGCATTAGTACTAGTTTGGGAATTATGTGATGATTTTCTGTTTTTATTAGATTTTTCAGGAATTTTGTGAAGTAATTTTACTATAATTTTTTAGGTAGTGAAACGAATGAGAAGAATTCCAAATTTCATGGAGATTGTTGTTAGATTTTTAGACAAAAATCGAAAGGAACTTCAAGGAAGGTGGAGGAAGATTTTCAGATGGAGAAGAGGTGATGAATTGATCAATATTCAAGTTTTACAACTAAGTTCTCTCTAAGTGGTAGTCTATGATGACAAGCAATGATAGGTAGTTAAGACTTTAAATTTCATTTTGATTGGATTTTATTTTTATTTCAGCTTAATCCCTTAATATGGGTGGCATGCAGATGAAGAGATTAAGACTTTTCATCGTTTTTTTTTCCCACTATTTAATCGATTTCACATTGAATTTCTAGTTCCCTATTTCTAAGTGACAAACAAGCAAAGTTGTGGAGAGTGTTTGTGAATTTAATTTCCGTTTTAATTTAATTTTATTTTATTTTAATTATTTCATCATTTGGGTGATATGCAAACAATGAGATTAAGTCCTTTAATTCTGTATTTTTATAAATTTTTCAATTGATTTCCCATTCAATTTTCTTTTGGTGATGATACTCTATTATAGGGAAAATTAGTAAATTAATTTTATTTTTTAGTAGTTATTTGTGTGATTTTAATTTTCTAATGAATGTTAACTTGATTATGATTGTTCAAGTTTTTTTATTTTGGTAGATTACTTATTTCTACAAGGACTCGAATTGAAATCATTTTTCTATTTCACATACACTAAGGATACTCTGTGTTTTAACTTCATTTTCAGTAGTTTTTTTCATGATTTTAATATTTTCAATGAAATTTAACTTTATTACAATCATCGAAATCTATTTATTTCAAATAATTTCTGATTTTTTTTATGTATTCAACTCAAATCCTATTGTTGTTTCACCACTGGTAGGGTGACCTTATTAGTGGTTGTATTTTCTTTCTCTGCCCTTTATTTTCCCTTTATTTTATGATTTCCTCTACTATTTTTGTTAGAAAATTGTATAGGAATTGAGTCATCAAACCTAGAGGATTCAAACCTCAAAACTTAGTGACAGCACTATCAAGCATTGAAGGAGAGATCAAAATATATAAAAATATATATACATATATTTTAATAAATTATTTTGAATAGAAAAAGTGATATTGAGAGTGACCATCCTATAGATGATTTGAATTCACCAGAATTTAATTTTAATTCTTGTTTTCGTTTTAGTTTATAAATATTTTAAATTTGATCATTTTGATAACAAAAAGTAGAGTGACATCAAACATTTCCAAACTTTGGGCCTTAATATTTCATTGTAGTGTAAGATGCTTCAGACTTTAGGCTTTGCTGATCTGATATTTTTTTATCTGTCCTATGTCTAGTTTAAATAATTGGTTAGAAGTATTTAGGTCATAAACAAAGTCTTTAGGACTACTTGGTTTCACATTATGGACCTAACCTCTGAGCTTAATCAAGGTGTTCCTTACTAACCAATGCATGATTGATGCAATGTTGCTTCCAAAATAAATTTTTTATGAGACAATACATCCCCGTGTAATATAAAATATAACACAGAGTACATGTTTTGGGTACCATTTAGTATCATTAAGGTTGAATTTTTATTGGAGTATTGTATGTATGATGTTTTTATGATGCTGAAGAAACACAAGATCAATTAAAATGATTGAATTATACATTCTTCTAGATATGTATGATACAAGAGTAAATGTGAAAGTGATTATATAAAATTTAATAGAATACTACTAAATATTCAAATAAAGATTCATTGAACATACTTCATATCAGCAAGCTGAAATTATTAAGCTTGATTGATTTTATCACATGAAATGATCATATTATATATTATGATGGGAACATAATATTTATATAATACTACATTGTGATAAAAAATAGTAAGAACATCAAAATCATCTAAACATCGAGTAATAAAATATGAGTATGATAAATTAATCTATTGTGTGTTTGTGACATTCAAATGATTTAGATATTAGCTTAATTGACTGTGTTTGAATTGCCTACTTAGTTAAGACTTTTTAAATATTAGTACATACACCATGTAATATGTTTTTACCACTTTGAATCACTAAAGCTTTTGTTTCAAACATTGAATCACTAAGACACACTTATTAGTTTCATGTCTACAATAGCATGTCCTTATTGAATTGGTTTAAACTCACATGTTGAGAATAAGTTAGGTCTGTGCTACTTATCTAAACTCAAAAAGATTTCATGTTGAGAATGAATTATCAAGCTCTAAAGCAATCTTTTTCGATCCATTGCAAGTTGTTGCTCATTCCACCTTCAACAAGCATCCTTATAAGAAAAAGAAAGAAACAATCACACTTCAACCTTTATCCACTTCATCACAAGTCCAAAAACACACCAAGTCTACATCATCTTTTAAAAACATCTCATGATATATCTTCAATATTCATTGTGTGTTAAGTGTGATACAAAATACTTCTTTAATCATCAGTGAGAGTTGTCCTTGCTAACAATGGGGTTAGCCTCCTAAAGTTATGGATCTAGAAGATAAGTTTTAGATGAAATTATAAGAGAGTTAAGTCAATTAATTAATAATTTGTGATTACATAGTCATACTTAGTGATTAATTAATAGTCTATATCATCCTCTAAAAACATTTCATGATATATCGTCAATATTCATTGTGTGTTAAGTGTGATACAAAATACTTCTTTAATCATCAGTGAGAGTTGTCCTTGCTAACAATGGGGTTAGCCTCCTAAAGTTATGGATCTAGAAGATAATTTTTAGATGAAATTATAAGAGAGCTAAGTCAATTAATTAATAGTTTGTGATTAGATAGTCGTACTTAGTGTGCTACAAGAATATGATTTGTTCTTGAAAGGTGGACATAGATAGTGAGTCAAATCACTATAAAAGTCAATGCTATATTTAGAATGATAGGAAGACAATAGATATTCATGAGTCCAAGAAATTATCTACTTGAGAAGAAATCTTAGCCAAAAATAAATGAAAAAAAAATGAATTTAACCCTCACCTTCCCTTGATCTTAGTGTGCCGTAAAATACAACATTTTCTACTAGATTTTTCACTATCACACGATCTTTGATTTTGATATCAGTGCTCTATTCTATATAAATTTATTGGATTCCTCTTTATATCATCTAATTTATTAACCTTGAAATTTATTTACCTTTGCCATAAAGTTTTCAACAAACCTAGTTCCTAATGTACCTATCAATGTTTTCTTTCAACTATATTTTGTTGACGAGTTTGTGAACATAAGAACTCATGTGGGATACTTTTATGATCATAGAATGATGAGATCCACCAGTAAAGTACCAATGGAAAATTGATAACTAAAAAGACATACCTTATCATGTAGACTTATCCCTAATTTCTTTGATATATTAAAAAAGTGTCCTTTAGTAAGCATTTTTGTAAAAATATTTGTTGTATCCATGAAGCATAATTAAAAATTATGCTTTATTATACATGAAAAATATATTTTTACCTATGTTGATTGGATATTATTGTTGTATGTAAATAAAAAATTTGTTTAGCTTAAAAGTGTGATATTTTAATTGTTTCTTAACCAGCAAAATTTGTTCCTCATAGTTTACATTTTCTCTTTTAAAAATATATTAAACTTCAGTGGTTGATAAGACAATTGAATTTTAGTTTTTTTATAGCTTTAAAATTAAACATCAGCCAAGGGACAAACATGATCTACTTGTACCTTCTTTTATCAACTTGACTTCCTACAAAATATGTAATTAGATTGTGGTCATTATTTTTAAGATGTCTAAGTCCTAAAAAAATTGGCTCCTACTAAACATCTAAATTTTATTTTATCTACATTTAAATGTGCTCAATATACATATATATATAGAATCTATGCATCTATGTAAAATAAGATATCTAATCTTCTTGTATTTATGTATGATAAAGATCCAATCATTCATTTATGTATAATTATGTTGATCTCTTTTCCTTGTTCATCAGTGTCCACTTTACATGTAATTATCATAGAAGTATTCTTGGATTTTAAAACTTCAACTTTAAATTTCATAATCATTGTTTTTGTATAGTTCTGTTGCGAGATAAACATCTAACTTTGTCATCTATCTATAAACCTAAAAAGAATGTAAGTTTACCTATCATACTCATCTCAAACATCTTTTTACAAATGTTGACAATTTAGTACACAAATTCATTGCTAAATCCAAATATGATATCATTAGTATATGTTTCAACAATAAAAACTCATTCATTTCAATTTTTAATGAATAGAGCTTTCTGCATTTTAAGTTATCATATTAAGCTTTCAAACTTGTTTCAATTAGTATAAATGGTTTGTCAACTTGAACACACAATCTAGAAAGTCAGGATTAAAATAGACAAAAGGTTTAAAATATTGACTTCTTTAACAATACCATTAAAAAATACACTTCTAAAATCAATCTGAAAAACTTTTAAAATATTAATACAGGTATATATCAACAACATTTTGATTGCATTTAATCCTGCTATAGGAGCATTTTTTTTATAATCATTTTTTTCTTCACGTACATAACCTTGTATTACTATTCTAGCTCTATATAAATAAATATATATATATATATATGTATTTAATATTTATTTACCAAACACATTTTCATCATTAACCTTACATACCAGGTGCCCTATTTCATTTATTTTAAATTGTTCTAACTCTTCATACATACCATTGATAAAGTTATTCATCTAAAGTGCCTTGTTTATATTCTTAGTTATTTTCATATATACTTTTATTTATGAATTCATTAAAAAAAAGGCCACAAATTTTTGACTTCCCCAATGTACAGCTGCCTAACAATCCCTCTCTCTCTCTCTCTCTAGAAAGTTCCTTCCCCTGAATTGAAAGTACAAATTTGGAGCACCCCTTATCAGCCATTTGGACTCAGACCTCTCCAATTTTGGCTGATTCAGGTGACAAGAAAGTGGGATCCCATCAAAATTACAGAAAATCCTGCAACGTTCCATTCAAGGCCCGATCAATATTTTCCATTTATGTACATAGAAAACTAATAAAATGAACAAATTAATGATCACAGGCATCCTCCGCTGAACCCATGGATGCAATCAGCCACCAATGAATCTCAATAAAGTTTCAATGAACATGTGATGAGTGAACTGGCTTCATGGCCGCTCCAACAGCCTGAATCACTGCAACTCTGCAAGCACAAGTAAGTAGACATGAAGCCAATCAATAGAACATAATTCATCACTAAACTGTATTCAGATAACGGATTTAACACCATACGCCAATAATATTTCATGTCTACAATAGTATTCACACCTTGATGGGTGGAACCTTCAGGCCTCCATCATATTTGGCCCAATAATATAAATAAGGTTGGGTATATAAGTAGACCTACTCTATAAGAGGTAGGCCTCTGATGCCGAGAGCTACTGAAAAATATGTGGAAGGAAAATGGAAAAAGTGGAACAACTTCCAAAGCAAACTAATTCTTTTTTACCGCTAATGGCAGTATTTTATCATATGTCACTAAAATACGTCATCAGGTTGAGTATTTTACTAGATCTCCTCTGAAATATGGGGGAAGCAAGACATTAAACCTGAAAGCAATCAAAACACTAGAGAAGCTCTTTTCCGAGTGCTAATGGAAACTAAATGGCCGCAGAAAGAAACAAAGAAAAAATTTCAGCAGTAAAGTCAGTAATGTCGTCGTAAACTCACTAGTTTTCAGCATCCTCAAAGTCATCCTCATCGCTGCTTTCCTCCGTTTTGCTGTCTTTGCCTTGGTGATTCCCATTTCCATTCCCCTCCACAGGCATCCCCGCTGTATCTTGACTACCAGGGTGAAGAAGCTGAGAGAAACCCTCGCCAATTGATTTCCACAGCCTTGAAGGGAGGGAGGACTGCATATCTCCGGCCTGCTCTTCAGATGGTAGCTCATACAGACTAGCAGAATCTGGCTGCAGGTCTGAGATCCTCACGGCGCCTAATAGCCTCTCAGGGAGCTCCGACTCGGCCTGGCTCTCAATGAGGAATGCCAGGTCTACTGTTAGAGTCGTAATGTAACCAAAGGCCAAGTGCACAATAGCATTGGCCACCATTGATGACCCAATGTCAATATCAACCTCAATGAAGTTTTCACCGATGATATACTTGCAAGAAATAGCCCGGCCAATAAGGCAGATGGCCTGCTCGCCAACTGCAGCTCTCACGATCCACGGCCCCTGAACGATGTTTGCGATCAATTTAAGCCTTGAATTCCGAAATGCATCGTCTCCCTTCAGAAATCTGTCCATGAGAGAGTCTTCTGGCGTGGGCTCAGTCGAAACAAAGTATAAGATCGCACTGTGGTTATCCTTGCATGGGACTTGCAGGTTGAAAGCCCAGACGAAATGCTTGTTCACAGGATCTGCATCAATGGCCCTTCTGACCCGAGAATTTGGGTCGTTAAGCACCTCACTGATCTTCGAGCTGCTCTTCAGCCAGTCAAATCCAAGAGGCTTAAGAAGGTAATCGCCACCAGGGATCTTCACCCTGGAGGAAAGATAGTCAGGGCCTCGAACCATGAAGATGTCTCCCTCTGGGGAGGCCCAACCATTGGGACAGTTGTCAGGCTCAAGATGAGGAACAGCTCCCCCTGATTTGATTTTCTCTATCCAATCAGGAGAAGGCTCAGCCTCCAGTGCATCAGTCATGTTGAGGAAGCAAGATTCAGCAAAAAGCCCTGCTGCACAGCCACATGATCCGGTTGCCACAGAAAATTAGGGCAAGTCAGAGGTTTTCATGAGTACAAACTTTCAAGCCAAATGTTATAGAGAAACTTTCTCTCTTTCTTTCGAAATCAAGATGATCAGCTTAAAGCATAAATTCAATACCTCATTCGTTGAGAGATTATACTCAGAGCATAACTTTTAAAGAGTATTTGCAGACGATCATATGAAACAAAAAATCTTCACTTAGAACATGAAATGCGAAAACAAATATCAAAAGTAATCAAACTGGCACTTCAACCATCCTGTGAAGACCATCATTCCTAGAAATCTACCATCTACTAAGCACAAAAAACCCTTTGAGTTCCCTTACCCTGAGAAACACTAACCAAAATAGTTGCCTGATTATGTTATTTATTGTTTCTGTCATTTAGGAAATTCTTTCGGAGTAGGTTGCTAAATGATGAGCTGGAAACCTCTACCATAATCGGGGAAGCCTGAGGGAATACAATCTTGAGATGGACATCGTGCAAAAGCTCACAAGTCAAATATTCCTACCTCAATATTCTTTTATGGGAGAGCAATCTCCACGAATCCTCATCTGTTATTAAACAATATCATCATTCCAGTATGCCTAAGTTGATTCCCCTAGTATATGGGCCTAATTCCATCGGGATTCTGTGTACCTAAGATCATTAATGGAAATGGGCAACAGCAGCCATACTTCGCTTAATGGCATACAAAATTTTCTCAAATAAGCAAAACTATTTTATCTGTTCGCATGCCGCTTGATTTTGACAGAGAGATGTGTTCTCTGTCAAAATCATATTTTTGATAAATATAAACTATCTTTCATTCTAGATGGTGTTCGCGCAACCAGTTGCAGTGATAGAGTGAAACGGAACTAAGATCAGCATCGTCAATAACATTTTAGGATCACCGCTATGTTGAACAAACGCACATAAATCTATGGTAACAAACGCACATAAATACTTATCAGGCAAAATAGGATCACCGCTATGTTGAACAAAACAGATAACGAGAACTGCCAAATAGATGGAATGCTTTCCTGAAAAATAGGAAACGACAATAAGACTTAATGGGTATATGCAGTCTGCATTCCCTCTACGCTTTGTCCTTGATAAGGCAAGCAAGGTTCTGCTTATCATTATAAAGATCACTGTCATGAGACGAGATAGATAGAATAAGCAAACCCTCCTTCCAGTCTAAAAGCGGTATTGCGAGAACCTCTTGCAACATGGAATTAAACTTCCCCAATCGTACCAACAGCTAACAGGTAACCATTTTAACAGTGAATCTTATTCACAGAATAAAAGAAGCATTTTTTTGTCTTCAAAGATTTTAACCAACCATGGTTCTACTTTCTTTACCATTAGCACACACAGCAGGCAATCTTGTTAATGCAGAGCTTTTTTTTTTTTACGCCCTTCTGAATCTGCAGAGTAATGCTTTGCACCAGATAGTACTATTTTATACGAAAACAATTCTCCAGAATGAGTTCTTGGGCGACGCCAATAGTCTTTACTCAAAGTTTAATGCGGCCACCACATAATAAGGAAGAAATGTAACACAAGCGCATTGGTCTGCCTCCAATGAAGAGAATCGAGCCTCTTTTTTCAAGAAGCACATCCTCCACAAGGCAGAAATAAAACTCAATTAAGCCCCATTTCTAACCTTATAATCCCCAGAGCCTTATTATCATATCAGAAAATATGATAATATTCCAGGTTTTCCAAACTGATCTGCAAATAAGGAAAAATAATTGTAACGAGTTCATATTTAGTCACACACCATATGGCTCCGAGGTCATAGAGCATTGAAATTTCATGCTCACACAAGTGGATGTTGTACTACTAGGAGTAAAACATAACAGTCATAAATAGCGCACAAATAATTTTACAACTTCAATAGAAAAAACTATATGGGAAAGATATGAATTATTCATCATTTTAATGGGCACAGGCATACAAACAAACCTGAGATTGGCGGGAACAAAAATCCATATAGACAATGAAATGAAGATAATACCTGTGATCGGATTGGGATCCACACTTCAGCTCTAATTCAAGTCATCTATCTCCATTTATCAACTCATCACCTGTATTGACATGTTCGAGCCACCAATCTTATCAATTTATGACAAGCATTGCCATCAAAACACACCTGGAGCAAAAAACCATATCAGGCCTACTTCTAGATTTGTACTGCGAACATCAATGTACTACTAAAGCCACGTATGGTACAATCATGCAATTACAAATCTACACTAAGTATAAACTACGATTGTTTGCTCCAAATAACCAAAAGACGACTCCAAGATAACTTTGGTTCGCTGATCACTACATGTAACCCACTTCTTCATCCAACAAATACCTACTAGGTTTTATTTTCCATACCAAAAGTAGCAGCAAAGTTAAAGAACTATATATAGTAAAAAAACCTAAATCAATGCTCCACTATCCTGATCTCATGAGTAATAGTTATTCAAAAAGACTATATACTTGTACAACGTAATCAAGTCAATCAATAGATTATCAGTTCATCGGTCAAGCAGTCAATGTGGGAAACACTAACTACACTAATCCATGGCATACTCCCACATATTTTAGAATTATAAAAGTAGAGTTTTCATGTTTCTGGAGCTATTAAATATAAGGTGAAATCTTATATTTGGTCCATGACTAAGTTTTATTTTCTAGGGTAATAGTAAGGATAAGGATGAGACAATGGATCTAAACTCATTGTAAAGAAAATCAAAGTGACAGAGTCACTTTCAATCCTCTTAATAGCAGTAGCTATTTTCTAAAACGAAGTGAGGAAAAGCACTTGCGCCAATCTTAACCTCATTTAGCACTGTGTTTAAATTGGCTTCAAGGATAAGAGTATGGTCAATATTGAAAGCTCTAGAAAGAAAAGTAAAACTATTCGATCATCCTAAAACCAATTATTCTTCTTCTAGCCTAACTTTGCATTTTGATTAAGCTGGTTTCAAGGCCCATTCTTTCTCTGCAGTTCCACTCCTCGATCCTGGATAGATAAGCCAGTACACTTTCCCAACGAGATCTGAGATCAAGATCCGGATGGCAGTTCAAATGAAACTACAACAAAGCCACCAAGAACGAACTCTAGTGGTCTAAGTTTTTCATTCCTCATATAACAACATAATATAGCCTTTTAAGTAAGCTCAAACAAGCCATGTCGCAGAAACCACAAGCAAATAAAATCCAACAGAATGCAAGGGAAAAACCATGGTTAAGAGTCCTTCCGGCACAGTAACAACAAAGATTCATGAATTATATTCAAAAGGGGAAAATTCATTCTTCGGCAGCTAAGCATCCTTCCCGTGGGGACTTCAATACATTGCGGCGCGCCATTCGAAGAGGAGGTAGAAGGAGCACGACAATCGCAATTGATCCTTGGAAACCAAAAAAGTCATGCGAAGACAAAACCCTAATAAAAAGCACAAGTACGACCGCGAAAGAAGAAAAGACAACAGAATGAACTTCCCGCAGCCGAGTAACACCCACCCTCATCCCACCTTTTCACCTCTGCTCCCTCGCCAACCTAGATAGCGATCCACCGGCGCAAAACTTTGCTGCGGGAAATGCGGTGCCCTTCCCGAAGAATTGCCAGGAAGGGGGAATGGGTAGGAGGGGGGGAGAGAGAGAGAGAGAAACTTTTTCCCTCTCTCCGCAGGAGGAAGCAATGGAGAAGTGCCCGGATTAAGGGAAAGTGACATTAAAGCCAATCTAAGGATTCCACGAAGCTCCTCCTCTCGAGTTACTGGCCAACCACGGAACCCAGACGACCCCTTCCCCACTCCGACGCCTCTCCTAGTCAGCAGCAATCGTCTGAATCCTGAACATACATTGTAGTTTTTTTGTGGGGCCCAGAAACTGTCCACGTGTGCTATGGCCTGGGCTCGGGCCCGAAGAAATGTCCAAAAACGGGCTTTCCCCGGGGCCCCGCACTCTCCGGCCCAACCCAGCGAACCTCGTCCATCATACGGGTCTGGACCCGGAGAAAAGCCAGGAATCGGTCTCCGAGCCTAGAATCTTGTGCGGACGGGCCCCGGCCCGAATTAGCCTATATTTCCTCCTAAACTTAATTATGGGCCTAAGTTTGGTAAAACTCAGGGCCGGCCCAGCGGCACACAAAAAAAACCCACCCCGGCCAGTTGACAGCCACGTCATGATCCAAGATCTGCAAACACCCTCAAGACCTGGTAAAAGTCAAAACCATTGTGCACAATTAGAAGGTTCTTTGACTAAATAATCTCATCAATAATCATCGATTATGGGACCAATGTCCTCGACCTGATCTATATCGAACACGGTTCGCCATAGAGTTGCTCAACACATTAGCCCACGTGGCATTCTCTCTCTCGCCCGCTCCTGCTCTGATAGATGTAGAAGGCTGGCCACGTGGCTTGATTAGATCTGCGGTGAAACCCAATCATGGTATTCTTTCTCGGCCCGGCCCGGCCCGGCCCGGGCCCGCCATAGAGTAATAAAGTTATTTCCGTAGAGTACTCATAGTTCATGCAGTATAAAATTTTATATTAGTATGAAGAGACGTTAGAAGCCATTCCATTGCGGGGGTCCGGGTAAATTTTGGAGGGCATTCTTGTCTTTTTCAGTTCCTTGGGTGATTAGCTAGGGTTGACCGAATGCCTGATGGTCAACGATTTCACATTTCCGGGCCCTTGTGCGCCCACGTTGACTAGTCAGTTGGCTGGGCAAGGGGTTATTTCAGAGAAAGCCGCGTCGAAACTATCCTATGGTTTTCCGGGTGCCACGTCAGCCGCTTGTGTTGGACAGTTAAGTCAGAGACAAAGCGAACTTATTAGATTCCAAAACGATGCAGATGAATTAGAGAGAGACAGACAGACAGACAGGCGGCGGCTGTGCTTGTCTCGGAGTCTCTGTCAACGAACTGTCAGGAGAGCGGTACGGCGGCAAGGGGCGGCTCGCAAGGCAAATGTATACTATTTGCTATTTTTAGTAAAAATGTGGTAGTAATAGATCGAAGAGTCAAAGTCAGCCAATTTTTGGGAGAAGGCAGAGAACCAGTTCCGATTGGATGAAGCCATGAACAGGTCAGACAGGATGAGGCCACCAAGAAGACGGATCTGTGGACACTTTGACTCTCGAGTCGTTGACGAAATAGCGCGAGGAGTGGGAGGAGATCGTGCACAGGTTTGAGTCATTCAAGGCAACACACCGTTTTGAACTCGAGGGAGTTGACTAGCCTGGTCTGTGTCTTCTATGACGCTGAAGATGGTTGAAGTCAAACCCTTCAGCCTCTTTCTTCATTTTACAGAGTAAACTGTTGTTCGATGAGAGAGTTGACCAACTCTTCCCCCCGAGTCTTGGCCTCTCTCTCTCTCTCTCTCTCTCTCAGTCCGGAGTCCGGAGTCTTGCTCTTCGTTTCCTGCACCCTCTTTCTCTCTCTCTCATTGTACACCTCTCTCTCTCTCTCTCTCCCACCTGCGCCTATTTACAGGTCATCAACCACTGAAGTCTTGGCCCATCTCTCTCTCTCTCCGTGCCTATCGGCAAGTCATTTACCATAGGACTCCTGTCCTCCTCTCTCTCTCTCTCTCTCTCTCTCTCTCTCTCTCTCTCTCTCCAGATCTCTGTATCTCTGTCCATCTACGTGAGAGAAAGAAGCATTCGTCAGTGAGAGAGGTGGTATCTGGGGGGGACCTCCGAGGGCTTTTCCGCACAAAGGACGAGCTGTCGGCGTCGTTTTCTTTTACAGCTGTGGGGGCTGGTATGGCCTCTTTGCTGCTGTCCCCCACACCGCCGGGAAGCCACCGGAAGCCTCCATTATTGTATGGGCGCTGCTGGTGCGGGGATGCAGCCACTGCTACCGCTGAAGGGAGGGAACCAGAGTTTATTTTAAGCGCCACTTTCGGCATAGCTGGGGAAGAAAAATGGAAGCCCTGGCCGCAGGGGCGTTCGTCGTCTTCTGCATGATCCACGGTTGTCCTTCTCTCTTTCTTCTCTCCGTTGCTTCTTCACGACCTGAACTTTAGAGAGAGAGCAAGAGAGAGAGAGAGAGAATAGTTCTGTCTCTCTCCTTGTCTCAACTCCATCGTTCATAGATAATAACAGCAACCACTTACTAATGCGCGACTGCCATGCAGTACCATTCAAGTCAAAAACCAAGCGGCCATGGATTGGTGTTTTTTGCGTGGATCAGCTACGTGACTTGCTCTTCTTAGAGTGAGATTATTCTAACGCTCTGGTGAATAATAGAAACATCAGACGAAGTCTTAGTATGAATCATTGATTTTTTTTAATGCCATGTTGGTGGATGGAACAATAAACTCAAAGTTATTTCAATCAGAAACCAGTACGACGACTTATTATGATAAATAGGACTAAAACTACGGAGACAAGGTAGAAGACGCAGTGGACCTCGTCGTTTATGGGTTGGAAGGAGAGGAAATGATGAACCAGATGAAAGCGCCACAATTCGGAAGGGTTTCGGACGAGTTCGTGATAGAAGCATGGAAGTGAGAGAAGAGGAAAACAAGAGCATGAGATCTCCGCCCTGAAGGTCCATCCCCCAAACCCTTGATCTTTCTGCCTCAAAAATATAAGAAGAGAAAAGGAATCCTCTCACGTGCAGCCTCAAGATCTTCCTCAGAAGAAACAAAGATTCACAGAGAGAGAGAGAGAGAGAGAGAGAGAACAATTCATGAGGCGAGGAAGACCCCGCGGCCAGGCTACTCTGCAAAGTATTTTGCCGAAGCGGGCTCCTCGTGATGATCTTTGGGTTGTCGTCTCTGGATCTTTTGTAGAAGATAACCATGTGGGCGCCCCTGTGCGGTCTCCTTCGCGGCAGTTATGCCCTTCTCTCCCGGGGTGATGCCGGCGGCTGCAGGCTTATTTTCTATTCGTCTGCTCCCATTCATCTTCACCTTTTGGTTGGCGAGGATGATCTTTATTCGATGGCCAATCAATTAAATGGCATGGGGTCGATGAACACCTCCACTGAAAGTCTCACCTTTAATGGAAAACGGCTGCCTGGGGAAACTACTGGGGGAGGAGGAGCTTGGAGGGTGGCTTCCCTTATTTCCTTTCCTTCTTTCCCTGACGGCGACGATAGGTACACAGACAGGGTAAACTCGGGGAGATCGACCGAGTAGAAAGCTGGGAAGTGAGGGATTTCACTGCACCATGGCCATAAAGGAGGAGCTCGTCCCGCAGTCGGAGGTTCCGTTGACTCCCGGCCTCTCCTGGTACTGAGCCACGTATCTCATCTTGCTGTCCGGGTCGTCGTCACGGTCAACGTCCCGGTCCATGCTGTCGCCGTCCGGGCCGTGTAGTTTGTCGTAGGTCTCCATCGCCGCGTTTCGACGCTGATGCTGCTGCTGTTGTTGCCGATCCATCAGTTCCCTCACAATATCCCCTGGCTTCACAGCGATTGAATCGAATTGGCTCAATAGGGAAGGATGCGATTTGACTATACTTGGAAGACGTAGAACACCGCCATACCTTCTTCAGTGATCCGCTGTCAAAATTCTCCTCGTGGTGGAAGAAGGCCGGCGAGAGCTGCCCATTGCTGACGGCGGCTTGCTCTGCGTCAGCGCCGCCGCCGCCGTCATTGGCATCTTTCTCTTCTACCGCCGCCGTCTGAGGGGGATCCGCAGGATCGGAGCTGCACTCCAGCTCGTCCCTGGTTTGGCCGAGCTTCTTCCGGTAGAGGGCGTCCAGCTGGTGGAAGTAGGGGCAGGTCTTAGAGTCCTCGGGTCGCTTCTTGTTGCTCTCCTTCACCTTCTTGAAGTACTTGTTGATGTTCTCCCACTTCTCCTTGCACCTCTTCGGGGTCCTGCTGTACCCCATCCTCTTCATCCCGGCGGCGATCTCTTCCCAGAGAGGACCCTTCGGCCCGACTTCCTGGTACCTCGACTCCAGCCCTATTCGCAGCGTTATCAGGGCGTGGACTTCCGCCTTCGGCCACCTGGAAGACGCCGGGTCCGTACAGTTGACTCCGGCGGAGCCCTCCATGTCAGGCGCCGCCGAATCGTGAGGAGAGATTATTACGTCCGCAGTCTGATGGGGAATGTGCTGCGATTGCGGCTGCCGCGGCGGCGCCGACGCCGGAGAAGGCGACGGCCGTCTTTGCTGCTGCGATTGCGCCGTCGACGGTGGCGGCGCCGCCATGGGCGGCGCCACCTGGCCGGTCATCTTCTGCAGGAAGGCGACGATGGAGGCGTCTCTAGACGCGGAGAGAGCTCTTTCCTGAGCGATGATCTCGTGCTCGCGGTGGACGCGCGCCATTTCCTGGCGCTTCCAGGCCTCCTCTCTGGCCATCCTCTCCTGCTCCCGCCTCTCGATCGTCTCCAGGAACCTTTGCTGCATTGCCTCCTGCCTCTCTATCACCTGCTTCATCAGCCCCTCGAAGAAGGCCATCATCTTGTGCCGACCTCGGCCGCCGCTGGCGCGCTTGCGCTTGTTTTGCTCGCCGGAGAGATTCTCCTCGGTGTCTTCTTCGGACTCGGAGGCCGAGGAGGAGAAGGTATCGGAGGAGAAACTGAAGCCCCCCCAACCGCCGCCGATGGGCGGCGGCGGAGTGGAGTTCAGCAGAGACGGCGGAAACCTGGAAGACGGATCCAGCAGGCTCGCGGAGTGCGAGAGATTGAGTGCAGCGTTTGCTGCGAGATAGGCGGAGACGGCAGACGATGTGGCGGCGGTGGCGGCGGTGGCGGCGGTGGCGGCGGTGGCGGCTGCGGCGGGGCTGTGGAGAGCTTCCAGCTGGGTGAAGAAGCGGTAGGCCTTGCCGTCCTGGCGGCCGGCGCGGCCGTCCTTGGTGCGCTTGTAGTACTTATGGACGTTCTCGAACTTCTCCTTGCACTTCTTGGCACTTCTCTGATAACCCATCTCCGCGAGCTGCCTGCAAGGACACCAACCAGAATGAGGATGAAGAAGAACGGCAAGTAATTCCGCGGCATGATCACAAGTATCATCCCATCAATTTCGTCCCATTTCAAAGTAAAAAAGGAATCTTTGCCCATCTGAACGCTCCGAAAATTTCCTTCAATGTGGGAGCTTTAACAAAGCAATAATAATTAGGGCTGGAGCCTGAGCGAGAGAGAGAGAGAGAGAGAGAGAGAGAGAGAGAGGAATGCATGAGGGGTGGTGAGGCTTTTTTATTAGTTTTATTCTGGAGGCGTTGCAGATGTATGCGACAGCGGCATCAGAAAATTGGAAACTTGTTGGGATCGATGCAGCGAAGAGGAATCGTATTGATTTCAGGGACCGACCTTGTCCGCCATCTTCACTTCGTTGGTTAATCAAAAAGAAATGAGAAAAAGGGGAAAGATACCTCACTCGTGACCCCAGAGAGAGAGATGGCGAGAGCGAGCGAGAGAGATAGAGAGAGAGAGAGAGAGAGAGAGAGAGAGAGAGAGATCTGTGAAGGAAGAGGAAGATTTGATGAAGACGTGATCATGGCGGAGGTCGGAAACGAAGGCCTGCTTTCCTTCATCAAAACTAGTAACTGATCAGCCAGTTGGGTGAGTCGGCATCTGAAGTATCAGCAGCGGGTTATGTATATATATATATATATATATATATCTCTCCCTCTCTGTGCATTTCTTCCTCAAATCCAACCCCCCACCCTCTTTGCTTGCTCAGTTCCGACTGCAACTGAAAAAAGTCCACAGAGGAACAGTCCCTTCCCTCTTCCCCCCTCCTCTCCACTGCCGTCCCATCAGATGCTTCTCTTTGCTCCTTGCTGCCTAAATTATTCGACCAACACACAAATGCAAGAGTGAAGATGATGAGAAAGAAATGGGGGGAGGGAGGAGGAAGCACAATTCAACAGCATTTTAATCCCTGCAAGGAGTTGGGACTGGGATCCCTTCGAAGTATTTCTTCTCACCTGGAGACTTCCTCCCAAAGAGGGCCTTTCAGAGTAGCGTCTCTGAAGGCGGCGTCCAGATCGGAGCGGATCTTGAGGAGGGCTAGTGTCTCCTGCCGCGGCCACCGGTTGCCGGCGATCCCTCCCCGATCGGCCTCCTCCCCCGCCGCCGCCAGGTTCTCCTCATCCGTGAAACCCTCCGACCTCGCCGGAGCCAGCATGCTGCTGCCCATCGCCGGCGGACGGCTGCTTATGGGGGAAGCCTCCTCCGCCATGATCTGCCGCAGGTGGCCGGAGCTGATAATTCCACCGCCGGCGGCGGCCGCAAAGGTCATTTCCGGAGGAGGCGCCCCATACTGGGACCCTCCAGAATGCATGACTGAGGAATCACCTCCTCCCCCTTTTTCCTCTACCAGCACTCTTCTCTTACTCTTTTCTCACTCTAGTCACTTCCTCTTTCTCTTATCTCTCAGTTGGGGTGGTGGAGGTGGCCGCGGCCGCTTTGGTTACCCACCCTTCTCCTCTCTCCCCAGTTCCTTAACCGGGGAGAAAGGCAGGGCCAGGGATGGCCGGAGAGGGAATTCCGACCCCGGCTGCGAAATCGACGGATCCAGTATAGTAATAGCGGTGGAAATAGGTAGAAAGACTCCTAATAGAGAGAACTAGATGGAGAGAGAGAGAGAGTGAGAGAGAGAGAGAGAGATGGGGGGAGGACAGAGGATAGAGGATAGAGATGAACGGAGTGGGTGAAAGGAGGATAGATACAATGCCTACCGCATAGGGCGAGATTTGCCTCAGGGGATTAAAAAAAACTGGGCAGTGTCCCCGGAGAGATGGAAGATATAATTTCTTTGACAGATGCTTGGTGAGGAGGCGCCTAGAGAGAGGAGGAGATCGAAGAAAGTAGGGTCAAAGAGGTGAATAGTGTGGCGCGACGGGAGAGAGAAATAGCGGCGGAGGAGAGGGGAAGGTACAGAAGGTTGATGATGACGATAGAGAGAAGGCCCAGTGAAGAAGGTGACTGGTATAGATCCAAACTAGATGCTACGTTGTCAGAGAGAGAGAAAGAGAGAGAGAGAGGAGAGCAAGAGAGAGAGAGAGAGAGAGAGAGAGAGAGAGAGAGGAGAGCAAGAGAGAGAGCGTAAAACAAGAACTCATACGAGCACACAATCTGTCTTGGTAGAGAAGAGAGAGAGGCTCCTAAGCAGCGCAACCGCACTTCTCTCTCTTCCCGGCAGTAATCCGGCCTCAACCCTCAATTCCCTCCCCTCATGAAACTCGACTAAGAAGAGTGTCTTATTCTTCGATTAATTTGTTTGGTGTTCTTCAAGCGTTCTGTCACGCGGACCCTAGACAGAAAGGAGGATAATTTAGTCGAGTTTCCAGTCATCGCGAGGAGACTGACGATGGTGTAATCTGTCTGATAGAGAGAGAGATCGGGAAGTCAGCACAAAATAATCCCAACTGGCCGTTCCTTCTACGCTCGGCGAGCTCCACCTTCTCTTCCCTGCGACATGGGGGATCCATCCCACATCTCTCTCTCTCTCTCTCTCTCTCTCTCTCTCGATCACGATCGATCGATCGATCGAGAGAGAGGCTAACAACCCTAAAATGTGAAACTTGTGAGAAAACAAATCTCTCATATGATAAGCTACTAAATTTATAAACGCGAAGCGGCGGAGACAGCAACACGTTTCAACAGCTGTCACAGGGACCCAGAAGAGGACAAACAGCGGAGGAGAGAGAAAAGAACGTCGCGGATCCCGGAGGATACGAACGCAGAGCGGCGGCGGCGGCCGCCTCCGGAACCGTCCTCTCCGGCAGCGGCGGCAAGAGACCGTCGCGAGGCTCGCAGGATCTCGCCGGTCCAGCGCCGTTCCTCTCTGGATGGGCGGCGCCGCCTCGACGGTCCCTCGCCGGCGGCGGCGGAGGAGCGGTGGCTTCCGCCGTGCTTCCGCCGGTGACTTGGCCGGGGCGCCGACTGAAGTGGGCCCCACAGCGGCGGTCCCTCCCCTAATCTGGTCAAGTAATAAATAATGGATCGTCGCCTTCCCGTTAACCGAACTCGCAGAGGAGTTTAAGCAAACGTCCACCGACGGGCCCTCCTCGAAAGTCGAGCTCATCCCTCGAGCCACGATCTTTTCCCGCCGTTTTTTCTTTTTCCTTTATTTCCTTTCATGGTAAACGGGGAAAAGCGGCGCACGAGGCTGTGCCACGTGGAGTGCGTGGATTTTTAAACTGGCGGCACGGTTGCGTGCGGATTTCAAGCCTGGGAGGGGTGGGGGTAGGTGTGGCACATAGGCCCGCGCGTCAGCTCTCTCCCTTATCGTGTTCCTTTATGGGATGAAGGCAGGGAGGGTGTGGTCAGATAAAGCCGCAACATTCTGGCCTAGTTGAATGTTCTTCCTCGGATTCTCTCTCTCTCTCTCTCTCTCACACACACACACACGCACACACACGATATATATCTATATATATATTTATATTCAAAGCATGCATAATTCTAAGAAAATATGAAGTAAATTTACAAAAAAAGCATTTTCCTGATTTATCTGAAGATTTTATGCATAACCGTGAAGAAACTGTCTAAAATGGGAAACTTTCACGTCTATGACGCTTGTCGCAGCCAAAAATCTCATAAAACTTAGATCTTAGCCATCTGGGACGCTTGCATGGGCTCGGTTGAGACCAGGTTTCTCGAATATTGGCACGACCTGCTATACCCGGGCTTAAATAAAAAGCTCATATTGACGTCGACTTAGAACTCATAGACTATATAAGATTATTTAGGATCAAGGTTTGACCGAATGTGGTGGTGGACGACAGGAGTAGAATAGACAATTAAGAGGGAATCCAACCTTGATCTCTGTGGGTTCAATGCTGTGGCAAGTATTCTCGTTAGTCTATCAATTTATGTGATCCTTTAGCGTAAACTAGGTGGGAGGAGAGGAAGGTGTAACATTTCTTGAGATTGCTTGGGGGGCCTCAAGTGCGCAGTCTCTACATGCTCCCGAATGAAGACCATCTCTCTCTCTATCTGTCTCTCTCTGTCTCTCTGTCTCTCTCTCTCTCTCTCTGTCTCTCTGTCTCTCTGTCTCTCTGTCTCTCTCTCTCTCTCGCTCTCTCTCTCTCTCTCTCGCTCTCTCTCTCTCTCTCTCGCTATCTCTAAACGGGCATTTATCTCTCCAAGGGCAGTCATGTAAGCCAGCTTTCAGACATCAACCCGGCCCGCGAGATTAGAAGCCTCCGATTCGAGGGCGGGGGTGGACAACACGTCGAGCAGATGGTGGGAAGAGAGGCATCTCGGGGATGTTGAGAGAAGTTGGGGCGGGGCCCTTCAAGCTCTGCTGACGTGTGGTCCTCTCTCTTCCGCATTTTACAGTCCGGATCGAGCTGGTTTTAACCCTCGCGACGTCTCCAGTCTCCCAATCGGATCCCTCTGTTCCAAGGCATCGACCTCTCGGGGACCCACCACGAGCTTCGCCCAGTGGGGAGGACCACAGCGTGATGCGACGTTTAGCTCCTGTTCCTCGTCTCCGTCTCCTTCATTGGTCGCTCCATCTCTCTGCTTCACTGGTCTAGTTCTCAGACTTATGAGGAGGAGAGAGTGGCTGCTGCGTTAGGTGGGTATTCTGCCCCCACCCCATCAATCTTTCCCGTGGTTTCAGCAGCTGAGCAGATGGTCCGGTAGAACGCGTAGAATGGCTGGAAGAGAGACGAGGAGAAACGAATAGGTAGGTAGCAGTGTTCCTCTAAAGAGTAAGCGAGGGAAAGGGGTGGAGAAGGGGAAGCCAGAAGGGGAGATGGAATAAGAGAGAGATGGCGCAAGGGAAGAGGTCAACGTCTCGGAGGTGACATTGTTGAGAGAGAAGTGAGCGATTCAAGCTGAAACACTCGGCTATAATCATATTCCGTTCATCTAAATCAGTGCATGAGGAGGAAACTCAAGTCATTTTCACGCTAGAGAAGCGATGGCATCAAACACGGGTAGGAACTAGTCTTGCTGTCGCAAACACGATGCTCTCATTTGTCCACGACTTTCTCGTCTTTTTCTTATATGTTCCTTTTTTCTTTCCCCTTTTGTAAATGTACAGCTTTTCTTCCGATGAGGCGTCGGTCTACATCGTCCTTTTGCATATTAAACACCTCTCTCTCTCTCTCTCTCTCTCTCTCTCTCTTCCTTCCACTCCCCATTGATAGAAAACAAACGGGTTTGCTATTTCTTCTCTTCCCTCCAAGTATGATGCTGTAGTATTTATATTGTCAGGCTTGCTCTGCCAGTGCATGGGGAGGAAAAACAGTGACCTTTAGAGGACCAAATCCTTGAGGCCGTCGCTGAATAATCATCTACCGGATCAAGAGAGCCTGGTGTGGCCATGTTCACCTCCTGCCGGCGATCCTTCTTCGCCGAAGTTATCTTAAGCCTCCCCCACAACCCTGGCCCCTCCCTCTTCTCCGAACGTTGACCGCTCCGCTCCATCGCCAGACAGATCTCGCGAAGATCAGCCGAAGGAACGCTCAGAATTTCCCTCAAGAGCCCTTTTACCGCGATCTAATAAATATAATAGAAGCTCACGTAAAATGAATCATTATGAATCAGATCGTGCCCGCATTTAATATATCATTGGAAGGCATCCATCGTTAATTACACGTGCATGAGACGAAGATCGTAGCACATAATTAATTGATTAATATATCATTGAGCGTGTCCGAATATTCCTACGATCGTAGACTAATTAATTAAACAGTTAAATATGTGAAATTGGCTGACCCATATGCAGCTTATCTTGGATTATATGGGCTGATAATTAAGATGATCTAAGCTTATATATGAGATATTATCAACGTCCTTGGTAACATTTAGTACTGGTGGTAGGCACTGGAGTCTTTTCTTACTGGTGTCACCTCCTCACGCATTTGTGTTAGATAGATATGAAATGGGCCACCTAGAGGATGGGTGACTGTAAAATCATTGGTGGGTTTTGGATAAAGTACAGCCCATCAAAACCAAAAAAATGAAAACTTGCTCAAACTTTATGTTGGCGTCTTGGCTTTATTGAACTCCAAAGAAATGTCGGATAGGCAGGTTGAGCAGTGATCTAGGTCAGGCCCACTATAGTTGCCCACTACAGTGTCCTTCATAAATTTTAAAATAGAATTCCTAATTTATTTCCACATTTTCATCACTTTCATGACTAAACCTATATAAGGAGATGTTGTTTGATCTACCAAATAATTTAGAGGCATATAAAACCTTAATAATTTAAAATTTTAACAATGATTTTTAGATTTTAAATAAGACTCCAAAGGCTTATTAGATGGACATTGTTTTCAATCTTAAGAGATTGCTTCCTTAGGAAAAACGAGGGGGGTGAAC